CTTGTTAATCGAACGCCTGCCGAATGAGATCTAGGTAGCTGACGTTGTGGCATATAGACGTTCCAATACCGCAGGCCGAACTCCACTGTGATTGCCTTTTCATCCGCCGCATGGTGCAGTCTTTTTATCATAATCCCATAGCTAGGCGCTTTATATGGGCCCATTAAATAGGCTCGGAGCAGACGTCTTAGTTGAAAGTCCAGTTCATTGTCCTCTGGTCGTGGATCTTCTTGTGGGTGTTGCTCTCGTGAGTGTCGAGGTCCTGAGCTGTGGTAAGACGCGTAAAGTACCATCGCCAGAGAAACAAAAGTTTCAAAGCTGATAGCTTTGTGATTTTCAGTCCTATGGTGAGCAGGGTTAGAAGTAAGTTTTGCAAATAGAGCTCCGAGCAATACCGTAGCGCAAATGCCCTTACGGGTTCTGAGCAGCTGCCTACGTTCTGCGTGATTCGTTAGAAAGCCGAAACATTATTGGTCACATCAAAAAGCTCCTTACGTGTATCTCGGAACGCGTCAGGGTAGGAGGATAGCTAGTTTGCTGGAGACAACGCTGAATTTCGTCGATAATATGTTTTTTACAGGTTCCATTGTCATAGCGGTGCGACCAAATGCGACCAGACCTCCAGCTATCATAAATGTCAGCAACTAGATCAGGATCATCTGACTCAGCAGCTCATCATACCATTCTTGATCTGGGCATGATATCTCACCAAAAGACCAATGTGAAAGCGACTGAAGTATTGTAAATAATACCTGAAGGGTCGGTTTCAGTGGAGGCAGAGGCTCCGTTTCGCAGCTCTTCCTGATCGCGTCCTGCGGAGAGTCTGCGCACTCGGCTTTTGATGATGATTCAGTCACTCTCTCCTGTTGTGTGTTCGACATTGTCCCTGTTTCCGAAGCTGTGTCCATCTTGACCGGGACTTCGGCCGCCTGATACACAGCACCTTGGATCTCAACCGGTTTGTTGGAAGCCGTGATGATCGATGAAAATGTGGACGAAAAGAAAACACATCGGCCACAATTTTCCGCCATCAAGCTGCCTCGGCCGGGGTGGAAACTGGTTAAGATAAAAGTGAAAGCAACACAGCGCCAGATTCATGTTTCCGAGGCCTTCGTTTATGTGAGTTCAGAGGCGTCATCGCCCGATTCCTTGCCTGATATGAATCGTGGCTGGAATGGGCCTCAATAGAGACTGCTAGCCAGGTAACACAGCATAAGCCATGCTCCGATTGTTTCAGACATTTTGATAATTTTCGTGGCGTGATAGGCGCCCTGCGTCGGCTTTCTGTGCACTTTTCGAACGCGTCGACGTGTACCAATCTTATGGTGCTCGTTCCTCTTGGCACTGCGGCTAAAATCGTAGGACACTGAGGTGGGCTGGGCCTTGCTGCAATGCTCGCTGGCACAATGTCTTGATGTTACTTGAGACACGCATGTAGCCCGCACTAAAGTGGTGGAAGAAGTTATAAAACATGGTGAAAATCAATGATTGAGAGTTCTACGGGACGCGCGATTTGCATTTTTCGGTTATCGAAAACCGCGCCGCTGGGGCAATAAGGGGTAGGGAAAGTGAGGAGTGTAAACCATCATATCTCTGCATTACTCATATCAGTTCACAACAACTTTGCCTAGCTATCTCTTGCCCATGGGTCTCACTCGAGTGGTCAGAGGGGAGGGGCTTGTCTCAGAAAACAGTACAAGGAGCACGTAGGCGTGGATGCCACTCGTTGCCTTATAGGTGAGACAAAGCGCGCTACGTGGATAAATCACATTTTGATGACAGTCAACAATAACGCAACGATGCCTCAAATTCACTGGGGCAGCTACATATCGCAAGAAGACGTATATGTCATGGCGCAATGATGTGTCTATAGTAATGATCGAAGTTGCTCATATCTAGAGGGAAGGGAGTTCTTTGTATAGCAAAAGCAAGACACGAGAAATAAAAGTTAGCCGTTAATTTTTGTCTATGTTCAAGGTCGATGCAGAATGCCTTGTTGGCGCGTGGACTGCTACATCATGCTTGTGTACTATCATCTGTGAAATACTCTTCATTTGGAAACTAACTAAGTTTATACGGACCTAGAAACTTTTCCATTACCTCAGAAAAACATCCTACCTGTAGCATATGAGATTACATAATATGTATCAACGCCACATAGCACTCGATGGGGCAGATATAGATGTAAGCCACTACGAAGGGCAATCTGCGTTCCATCAAGATGAAGCCTTCAACCACTTTCGCATGAATGGCAGTAGAATTGTATGTGGGCAACGTTTTGGTATTTGCTGAGCTGGAGAACTCTGACTTATAACTTTGCTCACGCTGTTTCACTTACCTTGTTAACAAGCTCTACAACACCCTCTGCACAGCCGTACGATCCCATGTATCCCCAACCTGAGTGACCATAATTATGAACTACCCAAGTTTGGTCATCCAATTTCTCTTCTTCAAGCCGCAAGCCCCCCTTTCTCCACGGGCGAAAACCAACTCCATGTCGGATAACGTCCAACCCTGCGATACCTTTTCCGCCGGCAATCTCTGGGCACAGATCCACAATGCGTTGCATGATGCGTAGTGCCGTGTTTGGGTCGGGCTGTGAGTTCCAGTTGCCAATGTCGTATGTGCCGCCCAGAATGGTACCGCCGCCAGCTGCTCTCTGCATCGCGTAAGTCTCCTCCCCGCTACCATCCAATGGGCTTGAGCACATCAACAGCGGCAAGTTCTTCGGCGTCTCGTTCCGTACAACCACGATTTGACCGCGGGACGGCGCCATTGTCGAATCTTCAACACCCCCAAGCTTCAAAGACCCAAGACCGGTTGCGTTTACAATGATGCTGGCTGTCCTGCCTGTGTGGCTGAGGAACATTGCCTCGTTGATGTTTCTGAGGTTACCGCGCTTAACCACGACGCCATGTTTGAGGCATTGGCCAAGAAGCCAAGGAAGGTAGATGGCTGTGTTTATACAGACCCCCTGATACTGAAATCCGGAGTCGTATCCGGGAGCTAATTCAGAAGCATTGTTATCTCGGAAGTTGTTGAAGATGGACTTGTACCATGGGTTCTGCTGGTAGAAATGATTCGAGAAGCCAGATGCGTCACGCGCCATGTCTATGTCTCGGCGAAGGATGTGTGTTGCTACGCGAATTGTTAATAACGATACAACACACTAACGTATACAAAGGTCAGTAACTTACTCTGAAAATGAATACCTGCCTCGGGATTCTCCTCTGTCAGCTTCTTGAGCGCTATCCAGGTTCGTCGTTCCCAGCGACTCCCTTCTTCTGGCGACAATCTACACAGATAACGCACTCATGTCAGAAAAACAACCGTTTCGGTGAGAAAGGAGTTTGCTCACGGGATAACGTTAGCCCCAGCCCAAGGCGAGGCATACTCAGCATCATAGTCGCCGGGCATATGCTTGCCGACCACGGTTACGCTGTTGCCCTCCTTGGCCAGCAATAGTGCGGAGGTGAGGCCAATCACACCAGCGCTGGATGATAGTTCTTGTCAGTACCAATATCCTTGGGGTTCTGTGCAGGCCGGTCTGGAGATTTACCCAATGACAACTATAGTATTGGACATTATAGAAAGTAGCGGCAGCGAGAATTCAACGTGAGATTTTGCGTACTCCGAAACCCTGCTTTGATACGCGATCGATTTGAGTGTTGTCGTTCCATGGTTTGCCATCCCGCGTGGAGTTGTATTTCTAGTTCAAACCTACTCTTAGTCATTGATATTGGAGAGCCTATCCCATCAGTAACGGCCTATCCTTTAATCGGCCAAACACGCGAGCAAGTCACGCAAGTGTATTCCCGTTCTCGACAGCGAAGGGGGCCAGATGACAGGGCGTGGAAGGTATCTGCCTGCTGTCGCGGAGGCCTTCCTGGTTTGGTATCCGCAGGAGGCTAGTAGAATGCGGGGGATCAAGTGGCATGCAAAGCCCCTGCTTGATCTACTCCAGCCGGTCGCGGAGCTCCTCAAAGCCAAGGGCGGTTGGGAGCTCCGTCCCCGCAAATGGCGGATTTGCGAATTTTCTGCTGCGTGGAGTGAGTTGAGCGTATTGGGCGTGTTGAGCGTGAACGCAGACCCCCATATGATTCTGAAGCTATGTACAGCAGTTACATTCTTCGCGGGGAGGTAAGGTCTCAAAATCGGGCCAATTGAACAAGAGTGAGTCTTGGATCCTAGCTCCACCGTTCTCGATATTCCCGAGACAGGTCAAGAGATCAATCGCTTTGGCGTAAATGAGGAAAGGTGCTCAATGGCATAGCCCGCAGAGGCGGCACTGGCTGTCGAAACAGCAAGTCTTGTGTGAATTAAACAACAGGATTTGAGAAGACTCAATGAAAAAAAAAAAAATGAAAAAAAAAAAGTGAAAAAAAAAAGGGAATTTCCCACCTGCTTGAGACAATTTAGTACGATTGCGACGTATTCAGACGCCACAAACTTGTCCACATATATCTGATAATGAGGCGAGCTTTCAGTCTCTCCGTGAAACATTTGGCAAGGCAAATGAGAATTGATTTAGGAAGAACAAAATTTGGGAATTAGGAAGCTCTTCACTTCTAGCTAGAGTTGGAATTGTCCGCACACGACCAAGCAGACGAACCTCCATCAGCTTTGTAAGAATCGACAATGCCCACAACGGCGCCATACGTGCCAGCGATCATCATAAAGGTACCAGCCACTATTACAAAGACACTCCAAGCAACCATAAGACGCCAGCGTATAGTAGGGTTCTCTTTACGAGCCCAGTTGTCGTAGAGCCACATACATCCCATAGGCTGAAATGATAGCAGCGTGCCAAAGAGCGCTCCGGAAAGAGAGACAATGCCGTTGAAGACGGGGATTGCACTCGCGAGGATATAAGCAAGGAGGCAAACACCAACGTTGCAGCCTAGCCATGTGGCCCAATGCACAAATGAGTTGGATGCGAGGTGCTTCGAATTGCGCAGAAAGCGGACGAACAGATATTTGCTCGATACCTTTGATCTCAGTTAGCAGAGAATTCTCTGCCAGAGTGCAGGGGGAACATTTACATGGGCAAGAAGCACACCGCTGACAAGCAGTCCGGGGAACGCAATACCATACGAAACCTTCTTAATAGTCACACCGGCAGATCCAAGAGCAGGCGAGGCAACATAAGATCCACAATAGTAGTACACGACGATACCAACAGTCAGGAATATGATGGTAACGACTGTTTGGCAAAGTGCTAATGCCCGGGGATAGAGATGAGGGTCTCTCATCTCAGATACGATGGGAAAGAAGGCACCTGTGCCGGCATACGCAAAAATGAGCGTAGACACGGCTGAGACGGCCTCGGAAAAGCTTGGGTTGCCAAATAGTCTGTAGTCGGATTCCCAATGGACATCTTTGGGAGCATTTGGGGGCTGGTCTTGGAAGCTCACGGCGATGGTCACGGTTAACACTGTGAAGTCTGTCAGTGAACTTGCGAATAGGCGGCCAAACGTGAGACAAACTGACCTGCAGTAATGATGCAAACGACGCCAACTATCGCGAGCCAGGTGATGCGGCCGAGGGTGCGAATGCTCGCTAAGATGAAGATCAGAACAAATGCGACGGCGACGAAGACGGCGGTGCAAGCGCCGTGGTCCGAGAGGGCGTTAAGACTGATCGAAAGACTCAGCATCGCTGAGCCAGCCGTCATCACGTATTCTAAACACTGTCAGTCCCAACATTTCGACCGAGACTCATCTCTGAAAATACTCACGGCCCATAAACGCAACAGCGAACAGTTCTTTTCCGATACGACCAAACATCAGCTGCCCGGCGTCATCGACGCCATAAACACTGCGATGGTTGACTTTGAACACTCCCACGATGTAGTTCGACCAAGTAGTGATGCCAGCAACGGTGCAGAGGATAATCGCGCCGGGGATCAGTCCCAAAGTGTCAAAGACGGCCGGGAATGACAAGACACCAAGACCAATCTGAGTTTTCATCATCAAGCACGAAGTTCCAAACCATCCAACCTATGAATGTGTCAGTAGGTTGAGATACTGAGGAGGGAGAGAATGATGTTTACATCACGGTAATTTGGCCCGTCCTTGGACATGTCTCCAAAGACGGCGTCATGTTCTCTGTCTGTCAGCGTTTCACCCACGCGCAAATCTTCAGGATTGCCGTTGATGTCGGCCGACGATTTCTTCACGTCCTTCGTCATGTTGTCAAAAGATTCACACTAACAAAACTCCAGATTGATGAGTATCGATGGCGGACGCAATGAACGTAGAGCAACCCCAAGACGTCTCATTAGTTCTTTTATAAAGGACCCTTGGCCGCAGTCTACCTGTTTTCGGTACCTGAGACAGCCAGGCAAGGGAGCTCGTGGAGAACTGCCAGTTTTGTTGTGATGACCAGCTACCCCGGATTTTGAGATAAGTCACTACAGTCCGTTGCGTTGACAGCGTCCGCCCCCTAATTTTCAGCCCGAAAAAGGTAAAAAAGGGGCTTTTTGCTGGAAAACCACCAAATCGCTCTAAACTTCACATATTAATAACTCTATACGTACGTAATACGCGTAGCTAAAAGTTTAATTAATTAATTTACTAGTTAAGGGCTATCTAATAATATAATTTTTATTACTACGTATTACGTACATATAGAGCTATAAGTATACGAAGTTAAGGGTGATTTTAAGGGGTTTTTAGAGTAAATACTGTGGATACTACGTATAAAGGGTTTCGTTTTTTCTTTTTAGCGTTACGTTTAGTATCTACTAACCTAAAAAACCCCTAAATTACTCTAAACTTCACACTTTAATAATTCTATACGTATATAATACGTGAAAATAAAAAAACATATTAATCAATAACCTTAAATTAAGTAGTTATAATAATCTATTTTTTATCTACGCGCATTACGTACGAATAGAGTTATTAAGGTGTGAAGTCTAGGGTAGTTTAGGGGGGTTTTAGGCTAGCGGAAAATTTTCCTTCCGGGTCAAAGTCGGGGGCGGACGCTGTCAACGCAACGGACTGTAGGCAGGGGGGCTTGCTTCGCGGTCTCCGCCACATTCACGTACCCCGCGCGCTCCGCCGTACTGTCAAAAGACCGCGGCCATCGGCGGTGGATGTATCTCCTCGGGATGTTGCGTTCCACAGCTGGCTTGCCTGGTCCTCGGGTGGTGCCGCCACGAAGCATCCGTACGGCGATAAAATGACATCGCTAACCGGCCTGCTATGGCTTTCAGACCTTATTGGTCGTTATCACATCCCACATCCCGAGCGGTTTTGTCAGACGATGACTAGATTGCCTGATGCCAAAGAGTTTCGGATGGCCTACGTCAAGAGCGGTGTTAGTCTGTGGTCCCAGCCAGATTGTCCAGCTATGACACTTGCGTTCATAAGCCTGTCTATCATGCTACTCCATTCAGTTCAGGGATGATATCAAAGCTCCAACCGCTTATTAAAGGTCCTGGGAATTTCCGCGAGGATGACATGGTTCCAACACGAGCGGGGTTGCTGACGAAGGAGTAAGGGGTACATTTGCTGTTATCAAAAGGCATGCCGTAGAAGCGACTCGTTGTGGGGGAAAGGAGCATAAGGCGGTCTGATCTCTGCAAGCTTTGTATTATTGTTCACAGCACCTTCACCTCGTCTTTTACTCCCTGTTATTTTCTCTCTAGGCAGTGGTTAGGGTAGACACGCCGAGTCTAAGTAGACCTAGCTCGAGATGTTAGCTGGGCATTTGACGTTGTGCCCTGCGTAAGTAACCTACGAGGAACGGAACAGCCAATACGCTACTTCAACGTCAGATCGATTCAGAACGGGCATTGAAAATGTTGATTCTAACTTTTCTATGGACGTAAAAGCCGAGTACACCCTGCTCAAATAGCTTGTGAGCAGGAGTGCAGAGCCCTGAAGTCTTGGACCATAATTTTCTATGATCTGATGTTGACGGATTTATGGCTTTTGCGAGATCAATCAAGTCCTTTGAGTTACCCCTTATCAAATCGTCGTCAGCCCTTCCCGAATCTGATGCTCTTCAATGATCTGCCGCAGCGAGACAGGTCTGATAACCTCCACAGAGAGTCCCAGCTGGCGTATCGCATCACCATGCGACCGGATAACATTTGGCTTGATCAATGAGCTCTGTACAACAACCCTGCCGTGACGATGCCGGAGGGCGACCGCTTCCCAAGCTTCGGTAACCGCAGACCCCAGAGCAAGCTCGAGCGTCCCCCGAACGGTGATGACTGCCGATTGCCCGTCCCGAGCTTTCTGGTAGCGAAACAGCATCGCCACGCCTTGCCTGCCATTCCAAAGTTCCATCGTCTCAAGCTTTGGCATCTTCAGCGCAGCACCCGCGGCGTTTCGTAGCATGCTGCTGATGTCTTCGAAGTCCTCATCTCCGGTGAGTGCCCTCGCTGTCAACGCTAGACGTGTGAGGTTCCTCCACTCCAATGAATATCTCTTGCTCGCCCAGAAGAAGCAGCTAGCATTGACCTTGAATGAGGCTGAAAGCTCCCGTGAGTTGCACACTAGCGCTCGCGAGTTTATGGCTTACAACAGGACTTGGCACCCTGATAGCGGGGCAAGAGGGAAAGCTTACCGTGTATGCCTCATTGAAGTTTTCGAAAATTGTCGGCTTCGATAGTTTCGTCTTGTGAAGCGAGTCAATGAATTGCTGGGTAACTGTCGAGTTTTGGTCAGCGAGTCCAAGTCACATTGTGTCAGCACGATACTAACGTTGATCATTCAGTTGCTGTGACTGGCTCCATTCTCTCCAAGGCTCGTAGCAAAGCTTCGTCATGTTGGGGAAGCGCGTGAGCATGTTTGCGAGGGTGGCTGGCCACCATTGACGACGGGTTTGCTGGCGGAGGAGCACGGCCGTGACCGCAGGCATGAGGGGCATCGACCGCCACCACCGGATCTCCTGTTCCTCGTCTAGAAATGATGCCTGGCTCATGATCTCGTCAAAGGAGTTGTAGATAGAGCGCTCGTGGGGAGCGGCAGTTTGCCGCCCAGCGATCCAGCCGTGAGGCGGGTCGTGGATGGTCGTGATCCCTTGCTGGTCATCCCCGCTGCGCTGTAACAGCGACGAGCACTCGCCAAGGTGGGTGTCTGGGCAGAAGCTGAGATACTTGAAGCAATGGAGCGCATCGCTTGGCGAGGAGACACTGGTGTCGAGAACCAAGTGGCTACGCGGCTCCCACGTGCTGAGGGCCGCGGCCAAGCTCTGGAAAGCATACACGATCAGATTGTCATCGGCTGGGTCTTCGCCGAAAACGTCCACGTCCTCATCGTTGCCATTTTCATCGACCTCTAGTGGGCACTTGTAACAGTGGTAGCTTTCCAGTTCCACGCGAAACCATATGTAACGGATGAGACTTCTCTTGCGGAAGAGAATAGCAGTAGAGTTAGTATCGAACAGGCGCGATGGCGTTAGGCTGATCTCGGCAAAAATCAACGTTTCGAAGAAGGAATGCCATTCCCACGAAATGGTAGCAAGCTGGCTGTACTTAGTGCCGTGGAGACCCGACACAATGCTGAGCACCTCATCCCGAAGTTCGGGGGGAAGACGAGCCCAGGAGGTATTGGCGTTGGACATCTCGACCGACGTTGCAATTTGCCTACACAGCAAATAGCGAAATGAAGAAGAGTGTAGGATGGCCTTTGTCTTTGCCACTCAAAGATGGTACTTTACGCCCTGTTGCCGCAAGGGTTCATCTGCTGAGGGCTGCGGCTGAAAATGTCCTTGGTGATGCCCTAGGCCATAACAACCTTGAGGTACATCGTAGGAAGGGGTCATCTTCTTCATATAGCAATCTCCCCTGCAAAACACAAACATCCTCGTCTGCCCTTCATAATCGTACTTGAATAAAGTGAAGTTTGAGACCTACGGGTACTAAGTCGCCTACCACTGTATTTTGGGTCCTGCAGAGGTTTGCTGAAGGTAGAATATGATATAGAGAAACACATAAGCCATCTGATCTCTGCATGAGGATTGAAGCGGGGGACTTCATGCAACTCTCGCCATAGATCTTGTGTTCATCTGAAGCTCAGGTTCAACCTGCAGACATATGGGACGAACAGTCTCCAACCTGTTGAGCATGAATATGAAGTGGGATGTTATGTTTGCTTGGTATTGCTTTTAAATTGCGCCCAATCGCTCCTAATTGTGTTAGGCCTACGATGTTTGATAAACGCCAATACGACAGCATGTCTGGGTCAAGATAACCGTGATCTAGTTCGTCTATCGACAGTTGCCTCTCTATTCCAGTGTCGATCTGTTGCGACTACCTCGTGTCTATAGAGGTCCACGCCTATGAATCTTTTCATAAAATTGTTTTGAAATGCAAAATGTGCATATTTTCCTTCTCCCTTCAGATCAACGTTCGAAAAATTGACCAAGCGGACGTCGAGACAGCCTCCTTTTCGATCATCACTCTCCTGACAAGCCGAACCCTTAAACAGAGTAATCCAACTTGCCGTCCCCAAGAACGCCCCAAAACTCCTCAACAAGCTCCTTTTGCCCGCTCGGCGCCCCCCTGACGGCGAGGTAGACCCTCTCATCGACAGCAGGCTCCCACACACCCGGGTTTCCACCGGCCATGATACCCCCCGCCTCGTTCAGGATACACCACCCGGCGCAAACATCCCACGCCCAGCATCCGCCCTCCCAGTACGCATCCAGCTGCCCCGCCGCGACGGCCGCGAGGTTCAGCGCCGCAGACCCCAGCGCGCGCATGGAGTGCACCATCGCGCCGCCGCTCTCCTTCGTGGCCGCGAGCTTCTTGAACGTCTCCGCCTTGAGCTCGAAGTTGGGCCCGTCGCGCGTGGACCCCCACTCGCACGCAAGCAGCGCGCTGTCGAGGCCGCGGAGGGGCACCGGAGACTTGGCGAGGGGCAGGCGCTGCTGGGCGCCGCCCGCGCGACGCATGAAGGCGCCCTTGCCCTTGACGGCGGTGTACCACAGGTCCTGGAAGGGGTTGTAGATGACGCCGACGACGGGGACGTGGGCGACGGCGAGGCCGAGGGAGATGCAGGCATCCGGGAAGGAGTGGACGAAGTTGGTGGTGCCGTCGATGGGGTCGACGACGAAGGTGGGCTCGGGGCCGAGGCGGGTGCCCTTTGTGTAGGTTTCTTCGCCCATGAAGGAGATGTTGGGGTATGTTGTCTGGAGGCGGGTCGAGACCATCTTCTCGACGGCTTGGTCTGTTTCGGTGACGATGTCGACGGCTGAGAGGTGTTAGTTAGCTGGGCCGGCGTGGGAATGCCGCTGGGTGATAGGTGAACTCACAGTTGAGCTTGGTCCCTTGGTCGATAGAGGACGGGTTCGCGGCCATGATCATCTTGCCCGCCTCGCTGGCGATGTCGACCAGGGTGTCGTGGATCTCTTGGAGGTTGAGGTCCGCCATGTTTGCTGCTGATATCTGTAGTCCCTAAACGCGATTGATCTCAATTGCACTGGTTCGTCTTCGTCTTCAAGGGCGTGGGCGTGTTCCTGGTGAGGAGAATTGTATTTGTCGATCACTGTTTTTTGGAGTCTAAGGTGAGCTTTGGAGGGGCAGAGGGGGAGGGGAACGGAATGATGGCGGGGTTTGGGGAATGAGGTCACAGCTTGGGGGGACTGTGGGGAACTGCCAACGGGCGGCTCTCACCCTTCCTTCAATGCCAACCCCGGCACGGTTGTCAGGCCAGGCTCTTCTCGGGAGGTTCTTGGCGGGTTCGGATCAGGCGGGCGGGCAGGGACCCGGAGAGACGTCGACCAATCGCCGCCTGCGGAAGGAGCATGCGACGGACGTTCACATCAGGCGACGGGAGAGGAAAAGCTGCGGTTGTCCCCCAAGTTCAGTGAGGATTCCGTTACATTGCGGCGGTATCCACAGACTGGTTGCCCGGTGGGATGCCGGGAGCGGCATGTCCGGCGTTCGCACTCTTCCGGAGAGACACTACGCAGGGAGATCAATGGCGGGCCGATTTGTCGATCACGGCTTATTGTAAAATTTTATTGCTCTCGCAGAGAATAAGTTGGATGGAAAAAAAAAACCGAAAAGACCCAACGCCGTGGATTCGCGTGAAAACAATACTGCACAACCCATTCGTGACATGTCCGGTGCCCTGCCCGTCCTTCTGGCCCGCTTTCCTTACATCATATCTCCATAGGATTGCCCAAAGGCAAGCTGGCCTCCCTCCGTTCTGCTCGATCATCCTCCTCCGTTATGACTCGGCTGTAATCGTTCTGTTTTGTCGGGCCCCTCTAGAGACCGCAATTTCTACTTGTATCCATCGCCTGACTTGCGGCGGCGCGTCTTGTTGGTCGTAGTCTTCTTATACGTTCTCTCTGAAAATGGACCTCCGTTCTGTTGGGCTCTCGCCATTCTCCTTCGGCTGTGGCTGAGGCGCAGTGTCGACCATTGGCCGCGGGCTTACGCCGCGGAGGCTGATGTTGCTTGGCTCCGCGTCGTCGTCGAAAGGATTCCTGCCTCCCTTGGGTACGGCGAGGTCGTCACCGGGTCGGCTGAGGCTGCGACCCCTCGCGGGCTCATCGTGAACGTTGGGAGTAGCGGCCATGTTCATGTTGTAGCTGTCGCCTCCGCCAGCGCCGCCCCGGTAGCCAAGCTCCTGCTCTTCATAATTGCCGTAGGGTCCGTAGGTCTCCGCCTCGTGGCCGACGCGAGTATCCCAAGCCTCATCGGGGTCGAGGGGTCCGAAACCTCGACGGGGTGCACCGGCCGAGGGCTGCTCGTAGGCGCCAGCGGCGGATCGGTTGTTGCGGTTCTTGAAGCCGGTGATCTTGTCGTTGAACCAGCCGACGATGCCGCTGGGCGCAGGGCGCGGGGGTCCGTAAGCTGGTGGTTCGGATTTTCGGAATGGTATGTACGAGGAAAGCGAGGGCGGCGGGAGCTATCGACGAAAGGTTAGCAGGGAAAGATCCAGGCAGTGCGACCATTGTATCTGCCTCAGAGCAAGGAACGACGATGCGAAGAGGGAGGCTTGACTTACGCCCAGTCTGCGGGCGCGCAGCTGAGTGAAGATGACCCAACCGACTCCAGCGACAAGCAGTAGCACCAGGATGGCGATGACGATGCCTCCAGCGGCGTTCACCATGGCTGCAATTGAGATGCGACGGGTGTCGTCGTCTTGAGTAGGGTTTGCGGCAGGAAGTCTTCAATGATGTGTGGTTGGAAGTCTCCGGTGTGCGATGGAAATTCGGCTCATGGGACAAGGTGGTCGTGGGTAATCAGCGGCAATGGTGTTCGTCGCAGTCGCAGTTGTCGCCGGAGCTGTGGCTGTGGTGTGTGCGGGAGAGCGACGGGACGGATAATGGAGGAAAAGCGCGCGCGAGGGCTCGAGGAACCTGGGAAGGCACGAGTACGGCGCAGGCAAGGCAAGGCAGAGAAGCGGAACAGAAAAAAAGTAAGATGAGTTGGTAAAAGAACGCAAAGCCCGGCGAAACCTTGTTTGACAGACAGGTAAGGCGGTGCGCAAGGCCAGGTCAGCACCCAAGCTTGAGTCGGTGTTTCCCTGCTTGACGGAACTCAGCTGCCTGCCAGTTGGGTGGTGAGTGAAAAGGCAACCTAGACGGCGGTAGTGGTGGTGGTGGTGGTACGAAGACAGACGGGATAGGTAGGATGACGAGACGATGGAGGAGGAGCAGCAGCAAGGCAAGCTCGGGCAGGCTGCATCTGCAAGTTGGTGGAGGATGCGCAAATAGCGTCGTCGGGTGCCTTTTGGGTGCGAGGCAGCTGCCAATTACAGCGATGCCCGGTTTCTCTAGCTCCGCGCGCTCCGTCAGCGTTGCTGCATGGAAGTCGGACTTGCTGCCGCTGCTGCTTCGAGTCCACTTCAGCTTCTCTGTGTGTGTCTGTCTGTCTGTCTGTCTGCCTGTCTTCTGGGGGCCATGGATTTAGGCTTAGGCTCCCCCCGAATCAGGCGTGCCGCACCCGACCTCCACTCCCACAGAGCTTGGCCAACAGCTTGTTGCTTTTTCAGTGGATTACTAAGGCCGCAAGTGGTTCGTTTCTTCGGTCCACCGTTCCCCTCCATCTTTCTGGGGTTCAGTATTTCCTCCCAGTCAGGCTGGTGCTGGTGCGCTTTGGTGGTGAAGTGGTGCCCAATCATGTCATGGCCGTCACTGACAACGACCGGCACCGCGCGCGGGCGGGTGCTAAGACGGCGCACATTCCATCCAAGGCCCCGACGGAGCGCATTCATTGTCGAGGGCCACGAGGTCCAGGTCCCGCAGCAGTGTCCCGGGACACCGGTTCTGCCTGGCCGGGACGCACACAGCGTTGGTGAGGACCTCTACATACCTTACCTAGTATGTAGGTACCTAATGTACTCTCCCACAATGACGTGCGTAACGTACCTGGGCCCGCCCGCCCGTTCGTTCTTGGAGAGCTTCCGTGCCCGCCGCACCTTGGTCCGCTTGCCCCCGTCCAAAATGTTTTGTCGAGCCGGGAAACGAAACCAGCTTTGAACCCCTGCTCGCTGCCCATCGCTCCATTTTACCAAGTGTACGAAGCACGTAGCATGGCTTTGTCCCTATTCATAGCGATTCCCCCTTGCAGTTGAGACAACTATTCAACCACTTCCCCCATTACCCCCATTACCCCCCTGAACGGACTCTCACGCACATCATGATGCTGCATTTTTAGTAGCTGCGCTTTGGACTGCGGGTTGGGTAATTGTGACAACTGTCAGATACGGCCTTGGCTTCACGCTTCGCACGCTAGTCATTGACTCTCTGACTTTTTTGCTGGAAACAATTGCCCCCAAGCTTGCGCAACCTGCTGCTGCAGAGAGAGATCGGACTCCTAGGCCCCTGTCACTGAAACCTAGCGCTCCCAATCAAACACTTGACACTGACAACTCGGCACCTCTATTGCGGCACTTGGCTTGGCGATCGTATCCTCTTCTCTATTGTGGCTGATTAATAGTCTACCTATCCTCTTTTCCTCTAGACAGGAGTGCCCAAAATGCAACCAAGGAAGCCTATTCTTGGGTATCACACGAAACATTGGTCCCAGAGTCCGCCGCTCTTCGCGAACGTCTGGCTGTTGACAAAAGCGTCCAGCTTGCATCGTCCCAGGTCGTCTGCGCCGCAACCGTTGAGCGGCACCACTCTGTCGTTGACCAGGATCCGAACCAGCTCCTCGTCCGATCCGCACTTCATCTTTTCAACGTACATGCGTGCTGCAAAGGGCACCGTCCAGCTGGCCGTAAAGCCCTTTGCATCCTGCACCGAAGTCCGCTTCGTCTTGTCCAGCGGCGCCGTCGAGTTGTAGAGCCCGAGCGCCCCGTAGATGCTCATCATGTCGTTGTCGTGACTGAAGTCGGCGTAGAGCACCTTGTCGAGCGGGAACGACACGGGGTCGGCGTCGAGAGTCGAGTTGGTCGACGTGTGATCCACGACGGGCTGCTTCGTCAATCGCGCGAGCAGCTCGTTGGTGAAGCCGACACCCTGCGTCGGACCCATAGGGTTGCCCGCGTTGAAGCCGTAGTACTTGCCCAGGGTCTCGTAGTACTCGAGGTCCTTCCACTCGTCCAACGTGAAGAGGTCGCAGAACTGAGACTGTGTGCCGTTAACCACAGTGTTGAATGGGCACAGCTGCATGAAGCTGACAGCGTCCTCGGATGTGAAGTTGACTCCAGGCAGGTTCGTGTTCAAACGGCTCACAATAGGGGCTGTGAAGGTGTTGCGCCAGTCAACCTGAGCGTCATCCCCGACCTTGGAGAAGTTGCCTGACTCGAAAGCCGTGCAAAGGCTGTGGTCCAACGTGTTGTTGAAGCCCTCCTGCTCAGGAATGACCATGATCTGTGAGTTGATTCCTCCATCAGGCCCATTGTGACCATCTTGAATCTTGGCTCCAAAGAAGCCAGAAGTCCAGTTGAGACCAGACTCGACGACGCGGTTCTGGCCCGATGATCTTATGAACGGGTCAGCGCTGGCGGCCAGAGACTGGTAGCGTTTGTAGAAGGCCTCTCCCGACTCGACAAGCTCGCGCTGGCCGAAAGGAGTGAGCTCATCAGCACCGAGAGTGTACTGGTAGTCCTTGATGAACTCAAAGCCCTTTCCGTACTGAGTGGCGGTTTGGTGGATGCGGTCGACGAGTGCCTTGTAGGTGGCCGTCTTGCCGGAGGTGGGGTCCCGAGCGCCGTGTCGGTGAAGCACCTGCGCGAAGGTGATGGTACATCCGTCGGGGGTGGCGGCGCTGATCTCGGACGGCACCGAGAAGAAGGGAGAGTACTGGCCCCAGAACTGAGAGACCTCACCAGTGGCGTTGTCCGGCTTCTGGCCGCTGACAAGGCTGCTATCGCGTTAGAATGCTTGTAGACTTTTTGATGAGAAATCAAGTATCTCGTATGAACTTACCTGAAGCCAGCGACCAAGGTGAGGAGAGCCGCGAAAGACATGGCACCCAGAATGAGCAAGGCAAGTGTAGGCTTCGGTTGACGCCGGTAGGGCTCGTACTCCGTCTCGGTGCCTGCTCTGTCCTCATCCTCCGGGATGGTGCTGTACTTATGTGTCTTGCCCACGAAGAGGCCCCTCACTGACTTGTAGGCCGAAGTGGCGGCATCGGAGAGTCGACCCATCGCGGCAGATGGAAGGCAGGTGCCAGGAGGAGAAAGATGGAAATTAGAGTGCCTGGGTGGTTCCCCAGGTCAGTGAGCTTGCGTACGACGTAGGGTCCGCCCGCTGCAGCATCCCTGTTCCCCTCGTTCGGGGGTTCTTTTTGGGCGTATGCGAGTGAGGTGTGATGCAAGGTGGGTAGAGAGGCTAACGGGCTAAGAAGCGAAGTTGTCTCGTGTGTCTGGTTTTCCGCAGGTTGAAGGGGTTTCCCAAAGTGCGGAAGGTGAATTGGAAACAAACGGCACTTGCGTGGTGCTTTTCAGGGGATATCGTCCGGGAGAACCCCTGGTTTTTTTTTTTTTCTCATACCATGCAGAAAAATAGACGGGTGTGTTTGCTGATGAAGGACGGCGGCTGTGCGACGTTTCCTTAGCGATGTCGAGTTTCAACCTTCAACGGGCACTTAAGCACAGCTGGATGCCACCGGTTGGCGGTCGGAGCGTCTTCGGGGGCTGGCGGGGGAAGGTGGGAGGTCGGGCGGACATTAGACCCAAACGTGGACAGGCACGGCATGTCTTTGGGGCAGTCACGTGGGTCGATGCGACGTTGGAATTGGAACAAGCTTCGCGATCGCCTTCCCTGCAGCTCCCCCTAAGGCCCCCTGTGGTTCCACCTCCGAAATATCTCACAGCGGCTCTTCCCTTCTTCATGCCGAACAACCCGTGCCAAGTGCCGCTGATAGGTCGCGACCGGGGCCCGGATGGACGATGGACGACTGATTCGACGCGCGCCATCCCGGAAGTTGACTCAGGATCTTTTGCTGTCGATTCAGAGAGCACGTGCGATTCTAGGATGGGCCTTCAACCCTATCGAAACTCTCACACGCACTCGGTCCGGACCTGATCTTCGAATTATATTGACATCACTAACTAGAGAATCACAGTAATAGAGGAAGCATATCAGGTCGCGGAAGAGGTGAGGTTGTGCGGCAACTGACTTTGCTTCAATTCTGCCACAATAATATCCGATCTGCGAATATTTCTACCAGCGAACGACAGTCATGGTGCTTCCTAGGCCTCCTCCATCGCGCGACCAGTCTCAAGTGCGCAAGATCTTCTTTCCATCCTGGAACAGCTTGATGTCATTCTTCAGCATTTCGCGAAGGCTCTTGCTGACGGCATCTTCACCCGCTACCATGTCCAACTGTTCATTCGTCATGCCAAAAATGCGATTGGGACACAAGACCCCAAGGGGGCCGTCCTCGGAGCCGAGAAGAAAGTAGTCCACAACTTGGGTACAAGTCATATCCGGAAATCGAGCGCTGGCAATATCATAGTAACTTCTCAGGACATCGTGGATGGTGTAGCAAGTCTCGTTGAGACCCTCAGCCTCGGTAGTCTCTCGCTTCAGGTCCTTCCACATGACGCACTCGAGGGACTCTTCTCCATTCTGCACAGTAATCTCCGAGTCCTCATACTTGCTCGCCGATCTCATCGTCTTGACCTGGTTGAGGGCTCTGTCGAAGGCGGGATTGTAAGTGATGGATCGTCCCTCCCGCTCCACGTGGATCAGCAACTTCGCCTGATCCATGGCAACCTGGTACCGCTTCAAGAGTTCATCCAGAATCGAGGACCAGAGTGCGTCGCGGACCTGAGCGTCTACACACGCTTCCTTCACCACACTGTAGATGAAGTGGTGAACGATGAGAATCATATTGCTCACATGAGCCAGAGTCGTGGCCTCCCACTTGATGGATTGCTCTTTGAAGGCGGTGGGCAGCATGTGACTGCTGAACTGCAAAGCTGTTAGCTGGCTCACTTCAACAGAAAATCAAACGCTTCATGTACTTACGGTGCCCAGCTCGTAGCCTCGAGAGGTCAGATACAACTGCTCAAGGTGCTTCATGATGCCACTGGTTCCTGGCTTGGCGCATTTACAAGCCTCCGCCAGAACCCCATCGAGTTCACCGGATTCGTCAGAGGGGATCGAGAATGAGAGGGGGTAAAGGTCGTTCCTGCTCGCGTCATCGTCATCGTCAGACTTCTCCGATGACTCGTCCGAGTCGTCGCCTTCGCTTTTGCTCGCAGCAGGATCAGCAAACTGCCGAGTGTGAGCGTTCTGAAAGAACATTTTGGAGAACGCTGTGTTGGCTTCTCGGACTCGTGTTGCCAGTCTCAGGTCCGGATGCTTGTCAAAGAGCGGGTCTCCGGTGTAGTAGGCGTTCAGGCCGAAGTTCTTCAGTTCAACGAAGCGGCTCACGATCTCGCCGAGGAACCGTCTCTGTTCGTCTTCGGTGCTTCTTGGTTGACCAAGAGCTGCGAGCTGTTTCTTCGCATCTGCAAGGCGCTCGTTGATGTCACGCCGAACCTTAGGAAACTCGCTCTTGGTTCTGTCCATTAGCAACTCCCGCAGGCGGCTACGAAGTGCGGGGACACCAAGCCGGGATTTGTCAAGCCTGCACCAAGGTTCTTCGTCGAAGAAGAACTTCTCCTCAAAGTCCCGCTCGTCCTTGCTCGATGAAGTGTCGTCAGCGCCTCGGTTCTTGACAACGTAGTAGCCCAACTGAATGTCGCGCCGCTTGCCTCTGATAAGGTCCATGGCCGCCTCTCGAGTGGCGTTCTCTCTGACGAGATCCGGCTTCGTTACTACACCCAGAGTACGCTTACCCTCGGGGTCTGCTTTGGCAGCATAGGTGAGGATAGTCTGCGTAGCCACATCCACATTGCAGGGGATCACGGCAAGGATGCTGTTGATGTTAGCCAGTACCATTGCAGCAGGAGGAAACACGTGATGGCACTCACATGGTCCTGGAATCCTTGATGTAATCCTTCACCATGGATTTGACAAGAGCAACGTCTCTGGACGTGGAGAAGCCCTCCTGGACGTTCTCAAAGATGCCTTTGAACAAATTAGTCCATGACAGTACCAAAGAGAATCAGGGTCTCGCGATGTCACATATGTCGAAAAAGATCCACGGCAAGGGAAGTCGGGCCAAGGGCCCAACTGGTGAAGACAACAGAGGAAACGCGAGACAAGGAATGAGACCACGCAGTCCTCACTTACCCGGGACGTCGATAATCGTGAGATGCTCCTTATCTGGGCCACAAATCTCGACACGAAGGATATCCTTGCTGAAGGCATCGCCCTCAGAGGAACCATCGGTGGTTGACTTCAATCCCATGACAGTAGAGGCCTAATGGGAAAAGCAAAACTTAGCAAAGACTCAATATTCAATGCTCTCCTTCAACCTACCATCTGGAGAACTTCCGCAAACTGTCCTCCTCTGAGGTCTTGAAGCACATGTCTGAAAGACTTGGCGAGCTCAGCCTTCCGAGCGGTGGCATCGAAAGGATGAATGGTCACAACGATGCTAGTCGTCGGCTCTCTACGACAAACGATCTCCGTAGCATGGCGGGTGCAGAGTCCGACCGATCGAGGGAAGTAGTATCCGGTCAAGCTCTCGAGAACACTCGACTTTCCGGAGGACTGGTCTCCGACGACGACAAGCTGAGAGAAGAGACACTGGGTCAGATAATGGCCAAGTGGTTTGATCGATGGTTCATACCTGTGGAAGAGGGACCTGCTTGGAAATTCCCAGCTCTCTGAGCTTGTCGATCTTGTCCAAGAGATGGCGATTGCCCAGGCCCGTCTGGGGAGTCGACTGAACGGGAGCCATGGTAATGCTTCAACGATGAGATGTGGGCTTGTATTGACTGAGCAAAGTCTAGGTGCGATGAAGTTGAAAAGGAAGATGGGATGGAGGAACACGCCAGGAAATAAGAGAACGACATGCTGGCAGATCTTTTCACGTCACGATACAGATTCTCCCTCCTCGATCTTTCTTGATGTACCAGCAAGGCTAATCATAAGATGCATGGGTTCTGGATCAGGAAAGAGATGCAAACGCCTCACCGCAATGAGGACAAACGGTTCGCGAGACCCGGGCCGGAAACACTATGGCAGGTAGCGATATCATTGCCTTCCCGCATGGGCAGATCGAAGCATCAGCAGAGAAAGAGGACAGAAAGATATCCGTGGTTCAGAGTCATGTAGCTTCATGAAGAAGTGGCAGGTGAAGAAGGGTAGTGTAAAGGCAGGCCTCAAGAGGGCCATGGATATTTGGGTGTGATTATGTTGACCAATGTATTCTGGCTGTATAAGGTCACATTTTACCTATTGATTGAGATTTGGAACAAAAAGAATATTTTGAAATGCAAAAGGTTCGATTCGAACCCCAACAAGCTGGGTTATTGTGTATCATGCAAGGCGCTTGCACTGCTGCTGACCTGACCTGACCACTGGACCAATTGGCCCCGCTCGCTGTTGACAACGACTAGGAAGAACTTCAATAAATAGTCTGCTGCAGTTGAGAAGCAGGAAGGAGCCCGGGGAGGGTCCAAGTTTCCAAGGGACGCAGGTTTCCGTGACCGGTGCTGTGATGTGGGACCCGCTGAGGACCGGCTTGAGCTACGCAATCAGCTGCGTTTGCAAACCTATCACTCAAACATACGCTAGGAATTGCCATTAATCGAGTGAATTTTGTCCCATTTGATGAAGCTATTCAGATTTGCGGCGCAGATATGTTGGTATTAGGGACCCATATCTCCAATCCAAAGACATGTCGTCGGATTTGAGTCGAGGGGCACGAAAATTGTTAGTGCATGCCACCCAAACCCACCACACCAACTCACAACCTCACACCTTCACCTCACTCTCATCACTACTGAGGTCTCACACATAAGGCCTTTAGCCTGAGATATTCTGTCCATATTGATTCATACATAATCAAACTTCTCTGGATCTCTCACGAGCCCATCACAACTTTCAGCGGTCATGGCTGTAAAAGCCCTCATCTCCACTCTGGAGGATGAAATCCTTGATCCTGAAGAAGGTACATCTCGACGATGATGGCCAACAAGTATCCTGAGGTTTTCCAGCTTACCAAAACACCTAGAAACATTCTTCCTGTTCTCTCATGATATTCCGTCCTCAAACCTAGGTTTCATCGACCCCAAAGCGACGACGCTATCGCTCACCCTCGCCGACCGGGACTTCACCATCCACCAATCTCCGACGGTCCTCTCATCAACCCGGGCAGGCGGCACAACCGGCGCTGGTAAGTTGATCTCATGCAACAATGCATCTTCCGCCATTCGTACCCGAGATAACATCCATCTCACTTCTCATAAAAACCATCAAATCTGGCATGTCGTACTAACATACCTCCCAACAGTCCTCTGGAAAATCACCCCCCTCTTCGCAACCTACCTCTCCTCCCCAACATCCCCCTTCAACCCCATCTTCACACCCACCTCCACAGTCCTAGAACTAGGCTGCGGCATCTCCCCCTTGACAGCCCTCCTCCTCGCGCCCAGAATATCCCGCTACATCCTCACAGACCAGCCATACGTCTCGCGCATGATCCACCAGAACCTCGAGGCGAACCCCCTCCCATCCTCCACGGCTTCCAAACCCTCATCCCGTCGGAAAAGGACCACTTCCACCGCTACCACCCCCTCAGCATCCTCAAGTCTGGGAAGCATACAATTCACGGCTCTGGATTGGGAACTCGACACCCCGACGCCCTCCCTCACAGGCTCACCCGCGACCCGCTCCTTCGACGCCGTCGTGTGCTGCGACTGCATCTACAACGAGGCCCTGGTCGACCCCCTCGTCTCCACGACCGCCGACCTCGCTCGGCTCCGCCTGCGCGTCCAGGAAGAGGAAGAGGAAACCGACGCGGAGGAGGCGGAGCGGTCCGAGCCGTGCGTGTGCATAGTGGCCCAGCAGCTACGTAGCCCCGATGTGTTTGAGGAATGGGCCGAGAGCTTTCATAGGCGGTTCCGCATGTGGAGGGTCCCTGACGAGTTGTTGCCAGAGGGGTTGAGGATCGAGTCTGGGTTCGTGGTTCACGTGGGTATCTTGCGAGATTCAAAGTTTGAACTTTGATTTGATGCCTTGGACGCATCTCATGATATTTTGAGTGACACAGAGGTTAGTGTTGGTACGGCGCAAAAGCTCAGTCTTGCGAAAAGCTGTGTTATGCTGCACATCTACCCTACATCGATATAGAAAAACTTTTTCTCGGCTTCATACAGAAAGCCACATGACCAAATCCCTTAGTTTGATTTCCCAATCGCCGCCGCCAGCATATGAACATGCTCGAAAAGCCAGTTGAACCCATCGTATCGTAGACACGTTAACTTTCAAAGTCAAAACTCCAGATTACCAATCCCATTTTTGTTTGTTTTGCTTTCTTTCTCTTTTGCTTTACCACTCGAGGGGCTCAGTCTTGGTCTCGCCCCGGTTGGTCTTGGGGACAGGAACCGCCTTGGCGAGGAGCTGGCCCGTCTTCGGGTCCCTCTTGAGGTAGGAGGTGCCGTCGAGCCAGGGGGTCAGCTGGGACATGCGGCGCTCGTAGTCGGTGATCTTGTCGTTCATTTGCATGGTCAGACCAATGTCGTCGAGGCCGTTAATCAGGCAGTGCTTGCGGAACTCCTCAACGTCGAAGCTGGCAAGGGTGTTGCCAAAGGCGTCCTTGATGAGCTGGTTGGGCAGATCAATCTCAATCTCCTTGCCAGCGCGGGCCTCGTCGGCGATCTTCTCCAGGACGGCCTGGTCGGGGATAACGATGGGCAACATGCCGTTCTTGAAGGTGTTGTTGAAGAAGATATCGGCGAAAGAGGGAGCGAGAACGCATCTGATGCCGAAGTCGTTCAGAGCCCAGGGAGCGTGCTCTCTGGAGGAACCGCATCCGAAGTTGGGGCCGGTAACGACGAGAATCTTAGCCGCACGGTAGGGGTCATTGTTCAGGACGAAGTTGGGGTTCTCGGAGCCATCCGAGTTGAAGCGGAGCTCGTAGAAGAGGGCCTTGCCGAGACCAGTGCGCTTGATGGTCTTCAGGAACTGCTTGGGAATGATGGCGTCGGTGTCGACGTTGGACTTTTCCAAAGGAGCGGCGATACCCTTCAGGTTGGTGAACTTGGGGAGACCAGTGGAGCTGCCAGAGGCGGAGGCGGAGGTGTTGGTGTGGGGCTGGTTGTCCTCGGGCTGATCTGCGATGGCTTCCTTCTCCTCAGAACTCTCCTCAACGCGCTCATCAACGTGGGGCTCGATGGGAGTGATGGCTGCCTCGATGTGAGGGCTGGCCTTGTACTGAGACAGTTTCCTGACGTCGGCGAGCTTGCCAACGATACCAGCGGCAGCGGCCATGACGGGGGACATGAGATGCGTCCGGCTGAGGGCGCCCTGGCGACCCTCGAAGTTTCTGTTGCTGGTGGATGCGCATCTCTCCTTGGGGGCAAGGATATCGGGGTTCATGCCGAGGCACATACTGCAACCAGCCTCACGCCACTCGAAGCCGGCGTCGGTGAAGATCTTGTCCAGACCCTCAGACTCAGCCTGGGTCTTGACGAGACCGGAGCCAGGGACGACCATGGCGCGCTTAACGTTGGGAGCAATCTTCTTGCCCTTGACGACGTGGGCAGCTGCACGCAGATCCTCGATACGGGAGTTTGTGCAGGAGCCGATGAAGACCTTGTCGATGGGGATCTCCTCAAGGGGAGTTCCGGCTGTGAGGCCCATGTACTCCAACATTCTGCGGCCGGCAGCCTTCTTGGCCTCGGTGGGGAAGGTCTCGGGGTCGGGAACGGTGCCGGTAATGGGGACGACGTCCTCGGGGGAGGTACCCCAGGTGATGGTGGGGATAATGTCCTTAGCGTCGATGAAGACATCGATGTCGTACTTGGCGTCGGGGTCGGACTGGAGAGACTTCCAGTACTTTGTGGCGCGGTGCCACTCGTCGGAGTTGTACTTGGGAGCCAGAGGGCGGTTCTTCAGGTACTCGAAGGTCACCTCGTCGGGGGCGACCATGCCGGCTCTCGCACCACCCTCGATAGACATGTTGCAGATGGACATACGCGCCTCGATGCTGAGGCTGCGGATAACAGAACCGCAGAACTCAATAACGGCACCGGTACCGCCGGCAGTTCCGATCTTGCCAATGGCGTGAAGGACAACGTCCTTGGAGCTGACACCGGGAGCCAGCTCGCCGTCGACTTGTATCCTCATGTTCTTGCTCCTCTTGGTGATCAGGCACTGGGTGGCGAGAACGTGCTCGACCTCACTGGTACCGATACCGAAAGCCAGGGCACCGAAGGCGCCGTGAGTGGAGGTGTGACTGTCACCACAGACAACCGTGGTGCCGGGAAGGGTGAAGCCCTGCTCGGGGCCAATGACGTGAACAATACCCTGGCGCTTGTCGCCGAGGCCAAAGTAGGTGAGACCGAAGTCCTTGACATTCTCCTCGAGAGTCACGCACTGCACGCGAGAGTCGTCCTCGGCGATGAAGGAACCAATGTCCTTCATGCCTTTCCGCGATGAGGTGGGGACATTCTGTTAGAGCAGAGTGAGCGATTGGGTATTTTCGAGTACTTTGCAAATCCAATTGGTTACTTACGTGGTCCGTCGTCGCCAAAGTGCAGTCCGGACGGCGCACTTTACGACCGGCATTCTTCAGACCCTCGAAGGCTTGCTGCAGGCTTTGTTAGCGAGCCGTCATGGTGGGGTCGATCAACCGACGTCATCCGAGATGCAGGGCAAAAAAAGCGTCACGTACAGGAGAGGTGACCTCGTGAACAAGATGTCTGTCTGTCGCACAACCAACGTCAGCAAATTACTCCCTGAGGCCATGGCAGGCGAGGCAGAGCTGGGCTCAAGGCAAGGCAGACTCACCAATGTACAGCAGGACCGTGCCGTCGAGCTTCTCGTCGACGACATGGGCCTGGAGGACCTTGTCGTAGAGAGTCTGCGGGGTTCCTTCGGCAACAGGCATTGTGTGCGACTCGAACGCGAAAGCGAATTCCAAAAGCAGGCAGCGTCCTCACGATAAGGGACCGGTTGGTGTGATGCTCGCCCGGTGCTCTCAATCAAGTGTGGGGGGAAGTCTGAAGTCAAAAGCAGGAGAGGCTGTCGCGAGACAAGAGGCGTAAAGGGGAAGAGGGAAGAGTGTAAGAAAGAGTAGAAAAATCCTGTGTCGGAGGTTGTGGCAGGATGTGGGGGACGAGCAGCTCAATATGTATCTGCCGGACCGGGAGGCCTTCGTATCTGGCTTTTGAAATAAAGGGAGCCAGAATGCTAGGTAAGGCAGGTGAGTAGGTAGACATGGAAGAGGAGGAACATGGCCAGGTACCTACTTTTGCTTCTGCGTCAGGTACCTTGCCTCTTGTGACCTCCGGTCCAAGGTCCAGTCCAGTCTCTTAGAGTTGGCGCGCTGAATCAACAACGATACCGCAGCAGCAAGCATGGACACTACGAGCCCATTGCCCCGCGCCCTCACAAAAGTGCCCGCCATGCCAGGTACCTGACCCTTCCCAGCAAAACAAAATGGCCAAAGCCGTGAAGCTTTGGCACGAATTCTGTTCCGATCATCGGAGGCGTCAGCTCCAGCCAGCTGCGGGTCCGGTCGCCGGAACGCGGGGTACAGCGCCCTGATTTGCAAATGGCGCCCGCGGATTGGCCCGTCGCCCCCTAGGAAGCCCTCAGAGGCCCTGCACCGAGGGGTCCGCTCAGAACCTTCCAAACGCTGCCATCAACGCGCGCCGCCCCTCCACGATGAGTCTTCACTTGGGACTCCGGAGCAGTTTTTTTTCTATTGCTACTAGGTACCTTACCTAGAATCCATAAACGGGAGCCACTGGTTGACTACAAACCCGCACGTGAGACCGCAAGAGCCCGCAATCTGACGAGTAATATGGGCTCGCATGGGCTCAGTTCCGCCGAAAACAGCAACTACTTGAATTCTCATGTGTCCGAAGTTGTATCTCTGAGTCGGAGCGACCCAGCTGCGCCCCCGTTTCCATCCGTCGTTTGCCGTCCGCTCTTTGCCGTCGTTGCGTTGGTCTCATTTGAAGATTCATGTGCGTGATCGTTGTTGAGAGGCTTAAAAACCAAACGGTCCCAATCTTAATCCCGGTTCTTGTCAACTGCCTACGCATACTACTTGCCAACAACACTTGCCGGGAGTCGCAGTCACAATCCCAGCGGCACCGGCAGTGGCAGTAGGGTACGTATTCCTGTCTTGTCCTTACCTAGACACTAGATATGTTGGCAAGCAGCTGTGTACGCGCGGATTAACAATCCCATCCCACATATGGATGCAACATCCGACGTTCATCGCTTACTCGATGATGACGCTGCAGAACTGCATTACAACCACCGCCGAACGCCTAGATCGGCGCCGGCCGACCAAACGGTGACGGACGGCCTCTCAGCAGCCACTTGCAGGTTGCCAGCTGCCTGCCCAGCATCAAGTTCTCACCGCATCGGCGGCGGCTCCTGCGGTGATCCCAACACCCCGTCCCAGGCTAAACCGGAGGCCGCGACACAAAACTCGACGATTACACCCGAGGTGCCGAATAGACCATGCACCTCGCACTCCCGGACGCCCGCTGCCAGATGCACAACACTGATTAATGAGTACTAGCCATGCCACCTATCAATACTTGTATCCTCAATCTGCCTCAACACTACTGGTTAGCCGTACCACTCTCCTATCCCGATGCATGCTTGTCCCGCACCGCTACCCCACACGAGCTCAAACAGCGGCCGTCAGTCTCGTATCATTGAGCGCTGCGCTTTCGGCCTTGCCTTATCACCAAATCCCTCTCCCCCAACCCAGCCGATGTACGGCGTGGCAGGGCCGCACACCCAACCCGGTCCCTACTGCGCCGATCGGCGGTTGGTTGGGCTCGAACGCCAAGCTTCTCTCCACAACCTCCCTTTTTCGTCATGGTCGGCTGCCAGGAACCGAGAATCGCAATCAAACCTCCCCAGCTTGCCTTTCAAATCCCCAGGATGCTTCGCATCATCCGCATCATCCATGCTATTCCCTGTGACAGCCGGATTGCTACCGCCAATAACATGAAACCGCCGATCAACGCCAGCACAAGTATTCCAACGTCCGTCCATGTGGATTTGCTGCTGTCCAGTCTCTGCCGGAGAGGCGATGTCGGAACGAAGCATGGTGATATGACTTCCCAGTACAGTTGAACTAGGCTGATCGTGAGCTGCTTGCCTTGAGTGGCGTATTTCCGTGTCTGTCTATGCCACTCCTCCCTTCGCAAACGACCTTCGATGACGCCGTCTTCGGACTTGTCGACCTCGTGGGCTGTCGACATGCTGCAGCCAGTCTTCAACATGGCTGGATCGGCTTGATTGACAGGACTGCGTAGCTGTGTCGTTTTGGGAGTATTGCAGGCCTCTTTCTGGTTGGAATCGCACGCTTTTTTCGGATTGACGTTGGCGGGCCTCGTCTGGTCGATGAGAATTTGTTGCTGTTTCTGACTGGAGTTGTTCACTTCCTTCTGCTTGATCACGTCGGCTTCGTGCTGGTCCGTCTTCAATTGATATGTATAGTCGACGTCGTTCGCCCCGTCCAATTGGAGCAGGGTCCTGTTCTTCACCGTCTCCGTTTTCGCGGCCCGCATATCGTTGCTGTTCAAGACTGCCCCGCTCATGTTGCAATCGCCTCGCGTCTCTAGCCGGAGTGTCTTTGCATCTTTGACCATGTCCGAAACCGCGCCATTCAACATGATGTCTTTCCAAATTGCCTTGCTCTTGTTGGCTGCTCTGACGAGGTGGAGACCATTTCTCAACCTCGCCCTGAGTACGCCATCGACAGGCAAGTTCCTCAGGCCTGAAGTCTTTGAGTTGCTGTCCTTGTTCAACCGATGGTCTCTCAGAGTTTCCACCATCTTGTTGCCCGACTCTACCATTGCGGTTCTGGCCGCTTCCAGGCATAAGGTTTGGTTGAGGTTGTCTTGGGCGGCTTCCTTCAACTCGTTCGGGTGTGACATAGACGTGGACGTGAGTGATGTGACAGAGCTGTCCGTTGAGTTTGCCTGAGGGCTGTCGCTGGTAGGGGAACTGCTCACAGACGATTTCGCGGCCGCCTGTTGGGTCGCAGGCCCTCGTAGAGTTTTCTTGAAGCCGTGGTCTGTCGAAGCCAGGTCCTGGCTGAGCCCCTGGAAACCTAGGCGGTACCGAACTGATGCCGTCTGGCCTTCTTTTCTCGGCGACGGCGTTGGGTTGCTGGCTCGGGAACTTCCCAGCAGTCTTGGGCCGTCCTTTCTCGATTTCATCACGGGGAGGCTGGATTGGTGGCGGTCCGGTCTTGATGGGCGGTCTGTCTTGATTTTGTAGGTGCGCTCGCTGGGTGGGTAACAAACTGGTCCCACTGCCTTCTCTCTTGCCATTATTTGGCTCGCGCCTTGGTGGCGTGCCGAACTTGTCGGGGCCTCTTCTGTCATGCTCTCCGCTGGGCCATCGAACTGGCATTGAAGGGCTGTGTTCTCTCTTGGCGCTGGCGTCGGGCTTTTGTGCTGGTATCGAAGGGACATTGTTGGGAGGTCCTTTTGAAGAACCTGCGCTTGGCTGTCGAATCTGTAATGAATTGATGTCGTTGATATGTCTTCTGTCGACGTTGACATCTGATCGCTGAAACGTCGACTTGAGTGTCGATGTGCCACTACGCTCCAATTGTCGTTCTCCGGTGTCTCCTCGAGGTTTGTGGGCCTTCGGCACTGGCTCGGCGTACCAAGACTTTGGTCGAAGCCAGTAGTGGTGGTGATGGGTGTGAGAGCAGCGTCGGCCATCACGTCCGCCTTCTTCTGATTTGCGGCCCAGACTGGATGTACTTCCGTTGCCGAGTCGCCTTGTAGCCTTACTTGTGTTGTCAGAAACTGGTTCTCTTGAGCTGACTTGAACTCTGTCATGCCATGATGGTTGTCCAGCAGATCCCGAACCGATGCCTCGACCCTCTCTTCCCTGCTCATGGCCTTTGGGCTTGCCGGATGACTTTGGTATATCGACCATAACTTTAACCGGGACGAAGTCGCTGTAGCTTCGTTGGTGGGAGACGGGACTTTGTTCATCCTCGAATCGGACGGATTTACTGCGGTTATGTGAGCCCGTCCTTCTGTCTCTTGCTGTAGTGAAAGATCCGCCAGTTCGCAAGATTCCAGGGGATCCCATTCTTTCTTCAGGTCGCCTTGTTGCTCCCATGACTGGAGGTAATTGAGTCGCGCCTCGCCGTTCTTGGTCGATAGGGGCTTGGCGCTGACTTTGTCCGCATGTTTGCCTTCCGAGGTTATCTGTGTGTCGATTGCTGGTACCGTTGGTCTCGAATGTTTCTGGTAGAGGATTCCCAAGGGATTGTGTCCTGGCGAAACGTTCTTTTCGACGCTCGATGGCGCCGTCTGGCTGGAAGCGTCCAGGGGTACTTGCTCGTCTGCCGGTTTGACTGGCCCCGGGCGCCGTTGGCCTAAAAAAGAATCCGTAATGGGCACATTGCTGAAACCCCCCGGTCTGGTGGTCTGGGTAGAACTTCGAGGCCTTGGGTAGGCTGAAGGAGGTGTGATATGCAACTCGGGCACTCCGGATTTTTGGCGCTGGTCCTCTCTCGGGAGGGCGGGAAGAGGTCTTTCAGCATTGATTAAGCCGACGGATATCTCGTTGCCTCTGAGCTGGCGGGCACCAGGAAAAGGGTGGTTGCTCCCCTCGCCATGCAGTACTGTATCTGAAGAGCCGGCATCGTCGTCAATGAGTACATGCTTCGGCAGGTGAGACTTGAGACCTGACGGACCGGGAGGGCCTGAAGGTACCAGAGGACGTGGAGGACTTCTCCGAACCGGTTCAAGGAGCTCCTTAACTCTCTGTGGCTGCGGCATAGGCCGTTCGTCTTTCCTGTCTGAACCTGTCATTCGATTTAGCAAAAGACGATGTTATGACAACCTCAGCTCAGTGCAGTCGGGTCACTGATGGCTTACCGTGATTCGACATGCCGGCCGATGACTGCGCTATAGGACTGAGGTTGGGTTCTTGTGCAGATGACCACTGCTGACGATTTCGATTCCAATGTATTTTCTCCTGAGCTCTGCGAAGCTCCTCCTTTTCTCGATCTTTGCGCGCAAATCGTTCCTTCTCTCGGTCCAAGACGCTTCTCGTGTCCTTTTCCGTCAGAACTGTGGCTCCTCTGCGGCCATCGAGGGGCTTTCTTTGCGTCTTTTGGAACGAGGCTAATTTCGGGTCGAGTGCCCAAGTTGCGGAGCTGCTCGTGGAGGGTGTGATGATGTCCAATTCCCCTGTGTCGGGGTTGAATCCCTGGACCCCAAGATAGTCGCCGCTTTCCTTGAGGAGTCTCCGCTGAGAATGGACTAAACGGCGTTCCTCGATGCTTCTCTCGGCTCGGGTCGTCCTGGTTGCCGTGGTATTTGCTTTAGTACCACCCTCCTCACGACGAGACTCGACAGAGCGACCTTTCTCATGAGAAACTGTCTCCGCGGTTTTCAAGTTGGAGATGTGGTCGGAGCCTTGATCAACTCGAGACGAGCCGCGTTGGGAGCGACGAGTCTTCGTCTTCTGCGTCTCGCTGGTCTCCTAGTATCCTTTGGCTCGAAGAGTGCCGCCCTTCTCAGCCCGGTAGCTGGGCAAAAGACTCCTCAGACGAGAGCTAAAAGTCGGCTTGTGAACCGAGTCCTCTGACCGCTCATTCCCAGGCTGTCGAGAAAAGACACGAAACGATGGTGAGATTTGCTGGTCAGAGTCTGGGGCCGAGTGGACTGACATCGTTGGCCGGGGGTGCTGCGGGATAGAAATGCTGTAGGATAGAAAGTAAACAAACAATTTTGAGGTGTCCCCAGAACCATGTAAATGTCGCCGGGGATGTCCTGCAGAGACGTAGTCAACCCGTGTGCAAGGACCAGGTTGAGTGAAGGATATCCCGGTTTCCCAAAGTGGCAGGAACTACCCCAGACAACGATAGCCTCAACTGCAGGAGTATGAAGACAACGAAGCTGATGGCAATAACTATGAATGGAACGCAACTACCAAATAACTGGCAGCTAATTTTCAACAATTTGAATCATTGTCCTAGCGGCCTTAGGACTGAGGACTGATGCTCAGGGACGGAGCGTTCTCTCCTTCCTCTTGGAACTGTGCCTTCCTCCTCTGTGGCTGTCGCGACATATAACAGCAAAAGAACAACCAGTTCTTCTTCTCCCTCACCCTTCGAACTTTTCACTCTTCACTCTACACCTTCTCTATTCGCAACACTTCTTCTCCCACACAAATCTCTACCATCACCACCCAAACCCAAACCATCTCACCAGCCATGCGCTATTACAACTGAGTAACAACAAGAACCTGCCTCTCAACAAGAGCAACAAAATGTTCACGTATTTTCAGAGGCTTCCCATGGAGCTGCGCGACGCCATCTGGAAGTTCGCCCTTCCGGAGGATGAACCGGAAGTGTGCATTGCGCACCCCGGCATGCTCAAGAAGAGCTGGCAGTACCCACGCAAACTCTTCATTGTGTACACAGCTTACCCGACCTTGATGCATATATGCCAGGAGTCCCGAGCATTCGCCCAGAACTTCAAGTTGAGTGGCGTTCGATTCACCACTCACCAAGGCACAACTGCGCGTGTCCCATTCCGCTTTTTCCAGCCGGATTTTGACACTCTTTTCTGCACTCGAGCCAACTTACAGGACAATCATGACAGCAATCTTGTCATCGACTGCTTGGCCCATGAGCCTGGCCTGGACTCAATGTTCTGGGAAGTCCGTCACTTGGCTGTTGCGACTCGAGAGTTCCCCGGCATAATCACAGACACCATCTTCGACGTCCTCCGTGAGTTAGAGACCATCACGCAAGTCTTTGTGAGCTCTTCGACAGACGACTTCAATGGTTGGACCAAAGAGGCCTTTGAGGCCCCTAAGCGCCGATGCAAGCTGCGCAATCTTATTCACACCCCTGCATGGCAGAGAGAAATCACTGGATGGCGCGAGGGTGATGATTTTCTTGAACACGTGGAGTGGTATATGGAAAGATTCCGCAAAGAACTCGACATACATGGACGAAGATCCTTCCGGGAGGAATACCCACGTGGCCCTCACGATTACGAGGAAAACGCTTGGGACCCTGCTCTGAAGGAGTTCACTGGTCTCAAGCTATATGCAAAGATCTTCGTTGAGTATGAGGCTGGCAACTGGACCGAGGAGTGCTGCAACAGAAAGCTGCCGGCTGACGCACTGCTGGCGCCGCGTCAGGAAGATTGGCACCAGCAAGAACCAGAGAATGAGACCGGAGACTGTGACGAAGAATTCGAGGACTTGGAGGCAAACCCCGACGACTTTGTGGAGGTTGTGCCTGGACCGACGTATGACTCCGCTTGGGATTTTGATGAAGCCATACGCGACGTCTACGACCAATCGGTCGATTTACTTTGAAGGGTGTCTCAAGCAAACTGCATGGCTACAACTTTCGGAGATCCAGACAAACACTGGACTTTTGCATTAGGGCAAGTACCTTCTTCCTTTTATCATGTCTTTTTTCCTATTTCACGGAGCCGTAGGCTAATGGCTTAACATTCAGATGGCAATCCCAAGTCATCGTACTTTGTACAACCAGAAATGGACTTGGATGATGGGAGGGAATTACCATGTGTTGGTTTAGGAATCTGATAAGACGGAACGTAGGGATTGGATGGACGAGTGGCAACGAGGTCAGGACGACATAAGGGATTGGATGGACGACGGGCAATGATGCGAGGGCCACGAGGTCTTGCAGCAAACGCTTGCCATTCACGACGACGAGGATGAATCATGGAAAGGGGACATGTCTCAGATTAATACACTTGCTACAACACAGAGCCCGCACTGAATTACAGTTTGCACAGCATGAGACTCCTCCGAGAAACTGGCATGTCAGAATTACCCGGCAGTGGCTGTTGTTTATCACTAACGCTGAGAGTACGACACGAAAACCAAGCAAGGTTATGTATAATCTGAAATTTGAATTATGGGTCTAATAAGAAGAAACGCCAGCCCGGAATGACCGCCCGCCGCCCAAACCCAACGCCGCCATATGCTGCTAATGTATACACAACTCGGAGCCATCAAGCAAAAGCAAAGTCCGCTGAAGCAATTTCGCTCCCATGTATGCAGTGTATGTCCTTCTCTCAGTCTCCCTTAGTGGAACCCTGACCACCTTGACGGGTATCGTTCTCCTTGTTGCAGACTTCTATTCCTCTTCGCGCTGGCAAAGGGGTTGTATGAAGCCGAGTTCATGTTGTTCCCGAGAGCATCGGAGCCTGTGGACCTTCTTGTCTCAGACTGCTTAAGCGGACTTCCAGCCTTCACCGGGCTCCCTCCCCTGCGCTGCTCTAGCGCCGCCATTTCCCGCGAATTGCGAGGAGACATGAAAGCCTGGTTCACGTCGTGCAGACTGGTTGCCTTCTTCAAGGGCGAGTTTGCGTGGGTGAATACCCCCATGTTGCCTCCAAAGTTTGTCGAACCGGTGTTTGCGGCCATGTTCGACGTGGAGGTGGAAGTGGATTGATACCCGGTAGGCAGGCTCTGTCGAACCGATCTCGTGCTGGGGACTGGCGTAAAGGCCTCAGAGCGGCGGCTCGTCGTGGGTGTGAACAGGCGAGAAGCGAAACTGCTGGTCGGTGGCGTGTACACAGGCTCGTCCTGCTTAACGTGGGGGTTGGGTGTCGTGACAAATTCTTTCTTGATGAGGGTAGTAGGAGTGCCGACTTCGACGAAGGACTCCTCATCCTTCGATTCTTCTGGAGAGCACTGCGTACCGACATCGCGAACGACCGGGTGAAGACGCGGGCGAACAAACTTCGTATCGTACTCGTGGAGGACTTCCTTGTGGATGATGGCCGTGTCTTTGATCTGCTGGGCATACCGAGACTGGACGAAAAGGAGCTGTGCCGAGAGAATGAGTTGCAACACGATGCAGTTGAAGACAGTCACACTAGGCCGAGGATCCAAGGGAACCAGCGGCAGGAACATCATGTAAACGAGGACGTGACCAGGGCTGAAGAGGCAGAAGAGCTGCAAGGAAACCGGCAGGGGATCCCAAACGCTCAGCTCCCACACGTCATGAACTTGATCGGGATGAGCTCGCGACTCAGCAGTCTCAGGCACCAATAGGTTTCCAAGTTTTCGGAGAGGGGAGGATGCGGACGGATCCAGGTTGGCCTTGACTCGTTGCGCAGAGGGAGTATGCGGCTTGTCATCGACGTTGACTTGGAACAGCCGGTATTGCCTCGTTCGGGTCATCGCGTAAAAGGCGTTGGCAAAGGAAAGAACGCCCAGAATCCAGACGAGCGGGCGAATCTGGGAGACATGTTAGCCTGTGCGATGCGGCAGTCATACGGTAATACTTGTGACTTACCACGAAGGTGATGAAGCTGCCGGAACCCGCGTCGTTGAATACATCGTCCTCAACTTCCGAGGTGAGGCTATTAGCTCTGGCCAGAAGAAAGACGAAGTTGAATCCAAGCCCGAGTTGCGTCCCCAGTGCCTTCGAGTCCCAGTCTCTTGTTTCCAACTCCTCAGACAACCATAGCAGAGTATCCATTGGGTTGAGCCACGCTTTCACGCGCTCGGAAAGCGGCTTCTTCCTCACAAGGCGCGGCATCTCGTCGGGTTCGCGATTGCGGCGCGCAAAGTCGAATCCGTCGATCTGATGATTGATGGTCTGGAAGGGGTCGAAGGGAGGGGGCGACGAGGCCGAAGGTGGTTGTTGTCGCTGGTTGAAATTGTTTACAAAGAAGTCTGGGTCTATTGATTTTTGGGGATGTTGTCCCGCCAGGCAGGAGCTTCTGACAGGGGTAAGGTACCCTCTGTTAGGCAGGCCCCAATTTGGATGTCCACGTCGGGAGGCAGGTACGTATCTGCTGCAGTGGGGTTCACTGGAAGGTTCAGTGGCTGTTAGTAGCGCTGTGCTACAGCAGGCAGTACCTGGCGGCGAAGCGCTAACAGTTCCCCGCAAGGTGCCGTCTGTGGCTGTTCCGCCGCCGCAGTAGGTAATCAAGGCAGTACGTCAATCCGCTCGCCGACTCCTGGGCATCGCAAGCTCTCCTACAACCCGCATCAAGTCACCCGCCAGGATGGCTTCACAAGCAGACTACAAGGACCGGCAGTTCCTCGCTGTCATTGGCGACGAGGTCAGATGAACCGATAACGATGACATCTCTGCGATTGTCTTTGCTAACGGCCTCGACAGGACTCGGTCACCGGCCTCCTCCTCGCAGGCATTGGAGTACGCCCCCTCGCAAGAGCGACAGCTTCGGCTCGACGGTTACTGATGGATTGTGCAGCACGTTAGCACGGGAGCCGACCAGGAGAAGAACTTCTTGGTCGTGGACAGCAAGACCGACACCGCTGCGATCGAGTCCGCGTTCGAGTCGTTCACCACAAGGAAGGACATTGGCATCGTTCTGATTAACCAGCACGTCAGTTGCATCGAGAACAGGAAGGCTTCGCAAGGTCATAGTTGACAGGAGGACAGGTTGCCGACCGCATACGACACCGTATCGATACGTACACTGCCGCATTCCCGACCGTCCTCGAGATCCCGTCCAAGGACCACCCGTACGATCCAGAGAAGGACAGTGTTCTGCGCAGAGTGCGCAGGTTGTTTGGCGAGTAAATGTGCGCTCGTGTCACCTCAGAGTAATCGAGATTGGAAGAATCGTTATTATGGGGGTAGAGAATGCAGATTATGGACGGACCAGGCTGGTCTGTCATGAAATAAATCGAGAGCTATCAGTCTAGCACTCGCTACCCTTTGTACCTCATTATGCCGACACTCCTACGCAGAAAAACCATTTGAAAGGCAGAAGAAGCACCCTGTTTGAGTGGCAAAGTGTTCCAAGGTGCTAATGCCAAGGCCGAGCTATGATATGGAAGTCCCCTCAACGTCGATCTGGATGCGTATCGCTACGTGCAACTGTAACCCATGCTCATACTCCGTCATCGTGAAACCATCGTGATGCTTGTGATTATTACTTTAAAGCTCGAGACTGAAGAAGCTCTTCTTCTGGCTGCGGGAGAAGACGACAGAGGCGGTCAAGCAAGTGATGGGCTCGTCGTCGGCGGTGTAAACATCAGCGAAGACGGTGTACTTGCCCTGTATGTTCGTTCAGCAACGGGGCGACAGAAGCCAGAAGCAGGGTCAAACTCACAGAGGGAATCTCGTTGGGAAGCTCGACAGACTTGGTGATGCTCAGGACGCCCTTCTCGATGGGGCACTCGAGGTCGACGTTCTCAATCTGCTCGCAGAGGTCCGCCTTCGTGCTGATAAGGCGAATCAGGCCGTACTTGACCTGCAGGAGGACGTAGGCGCCCTTCTCGATGGTCTCCTTGACGGTACCGGAAGCCTTGATGATGAGCTCCTTACCACTGAAACGCCATGTTAGCTAACGATTGTTTCACGATGCGGGTGGTTGTAGTGCGTCATCATCACCAACATCGTTGGGTGATGTACGCAGGGCAAACGGGACGTACGCCTGAGGAGGGTTGGGGGAAAGGTCGACGCTCTCGATGGAGACGACGTCCTTGCTGTGGTCCTTATCGCAGAACTCCAGAGGAGACTCGCCAGGGACCTTGGAAGCCTCGTTGACGATGACGGATTGGTCTCTCTGGACGAGGACGCTGGCACCAACCGGTGCGAGACCGGCGGAGAGGAAGGCGATGACGGCGGTAGCGAACCTCATCGCGAATAGAGGTTTATTGTTATCTCGGTAGGTGATTGCTAAGGGAGCAGAATTGCGAGTGCTCGAACGGGAGAGAAATCGACGTTTAGCAATATGGCTCGGCGTGAAGTCGTCGATGTCCGAGGCTCGAAGCTTAGCGTTGTAGAGATGGCTGGCGAGGCAAGCAAGGTAGCGGGTAGATAGATGGATGGAGTAGTTCCTGCAAGAGGCTGTGGTTGGCAGGTGGTGAGCAATGGGGCTGGGTTCGGGGGAGAACGTCATGGGGGCAATCAAGGATGCCTCTGATTCGCCGCACGGGGTGGACCTTGGTTGGGACAAGCGCCGTTTCCCTCCACAGCGACCATGGCGACATGAAGGTACGAGTGCTGCAGATACATGGGCCAGATTGCGACAGAGCAGCTCTTTGGATGAGAGATGTGGTGATTATCGTGATCATTATGCACAAAAAGCTGCCAGACATCAGCAGAGCGCATACAGTCACTTCAAATCGACGCTTTTCTAAGTTTCCGACAGTCGAAAAGACTGTAAACAATGGCATTCAGTCCCCCAACATGTACCTTGATTTGTTGGTGCACGCCAGGGACGCTCGAGCCATCTCGAATTTCCACTTTTTGCATGTCCCCTCAAATCCCACATCGCATTCGTTATCAGCGCAGCTACAAAGTTGATCTCCAGGACGATCAGCAGCCTCTGTGCGGATGGCACTTTGTCACGGCGAATGGTTCGAATTGAAGCACGAATCCTTATCAACCTGTCAGAGCCGCATCGGGCGACAAAGATGGCGCGATAGAAATCTCTTCATCATCATCCAAGCAGCCAGCTTTCGCCTCCACCCGCGCTCGCCCTTGCGACAGCTGGAGCCATGTCCCAAAAACCAGCTGGGCCGTTTCGACTGTGCAGGTATCGCTGGAAGATCCCTGGAGTCCTGGTCCCGTGGACAGGTCCAAGCAGGCAGTCAACGACATCAGCATAAAGAGCCAAGTAGCCCGCCTACGCTTTCCCCCTACCTCTCTTTATACAGGCGTCTCTCCCTCCCTCTCCCCCAGTCATAAGCTCTGTCCTCCTCAAGCTCTTCGGTGTGTCAGGGCCAGCGCAGCATGGCCCGGCTTCCGATCTAACCATCTCCAAGTCCCGAGTGCGCAGGTTTCGTGATTGGACAACCAGATTCCCGCGATTCAAGAGGCGTGCTGCTGCATGGATGATTACCTGAGGAAAAGGTAGCCACAACAGCAGGAGCCACACCCACCTTATGCATTGCCCACGATGGGAAGCTGTTCTTTTTAGGGTCGCATGGTCGCCCATCCGGCCATGACCCAATCACAGTTATGTCGAGTGCAGGGAAGCCAGCGCAGGAAGGGCTTCCGCTACAGTGGACGATGGTGAGAGACGTGCGAGGGATGGGCCAACCTGCTTCTTGGACGAAAATTAGGGCACCGTACAGACTGTAGGCCGGCCGTAGGTGCTTCAAGTACCGGACACTTCAGCATGTCGCCTGGTCTATCAGTGTCGCAAACTTTTTGTTAGGCCTCGAGCATGCAATTGCTAGACAGGGAGATCCTAGCCAACAAAACACTGGCCGCGAATCATGTCGGGAGTCCTGACGCCAGCTGGAGGCGGATGGGCGTTCGAGAGTCGCGACTCTTTGTTTTGTTTGTCTGTTTTGCCTGGGCTGCTGACTGTCAGTTGTTGGAGGGAGGACGGGCGGGGGCGAAAAGCCAAGTAGCGCCCTTTCCCATGTCGATCTGATCAGGGCGCAGGAAGAAAAGAAACACACGACGGCTACTCGAGGCGAGGCGAGGCCAGGCCGCTCGCTGCGTGCACCACTGTCTCCTTTACGTTGTACAGGTGCAGTTGGATCAGCCAGGGCGTTGCTGGATCGAGGACCCGAGGCGTGTCGCTCCAATAGCAGCGCCAGATGGTGAGAGCAAAAGCGAAAGATGCGCAAAGGCGCCGCGCGTAGTCGCATTTCAAGGTGCGCAGTTGCGCTGGGTGGAAGCATTGACAAGATACGACTTGTACAAGTACCGGTACTTGTATAACTATGACTGCTGAGGCGGATTGATGACACCTAAGCAGCCCAAAAGGCAATACCCCTTGTCGCCATGTCGCGTAAAGTTTAAGGCAGCGTGCCATTTACCGAACATTTGGAGGCCGACCTGGCTTTCCCAAATGAGGGGTGAGCCGGTTTGGAGAAGACGGAAGCCAGCAAAGCCATCGACGTCCATGGGTGCAGCGAAAGAGTCTACCTACCTACTCAGTAAGGGCGGCGTAGGATTGCTGAGGTCGCAGCGCTTTTTGAGGGGGCGATCTGGAGGGGGCGAACATGGGCACTCATTGCCGACGTTTTGATGCGATGGTGATGATGATGACATGCCCTGTTGCAAACCGTTGGCGTTTCTGTTGGAGAGCGACGCATGACAGAAGCATGATGTCGAAGACGGAGCGGTGATGGTGGCAGATGGTCGTGGAGGTCTGGTTTGCTGCAGTCATCAATCTCGCGGGTGACAGCGGTGGTCGGCTTGCAGGCGAGACGGCATTTTCAGTCTGGCGACGGCACCAATCCCGACAAGATTGCCATCTGAATCGCCGAATTGTTTGTCGACTCCGACGACATGTCGCATGCAAAATGCAGGTCTGCAAGTCGCAGGCAGCAAGGCCAGTGGACCATGACTGGGCGGACCGACTGTGAGGTGTGTGTAGCTGCAGGGAGTGGAGGGAGAAGCAGGCAGAGGAGGAGCAGCGGCAAGTTACAACAGAACAGCTCCATGCACGATGATATTAGGCCCTTGCCGTAAGACCCCGTCGGTCATTCTCAGATGGCTGTTGTGGCCAATGAGAAGGGAGCGCGGGAGGTTGAGTTGAGACTCGAGACAAGAACGACGCGACGCTGCGCAGCGGGGAGCTGCTGGCTACTGCCCTTGTCGCCGTGGCACATTTTCCAATTCGAAGTCGAAAGTCACTCCTGGAGTCCCGAGTCCTCAGCCTTTTTCTCGTCAGTGGATGCCTGCCCGTATGTATCTCTCTTGGTAGGTAGGTAGTGCTACCCTTTCCAAGTCTTTACCCAACACGGTAGCGTGCGCTGGTACAAACTCTAGACGCCCTTCTAACTCTACCGGCTCGCCGAACCTTGTCCCATTGGATCTTGCCTTTACCCAGGCAGGCTTTCATAGACACCGCAGAATGCAGGCCAGAAGCTCTCCGTCGAGCGCTGGCTCAAGGTACTGGCTGCGTCGGAGGCGACTTGTGGGCGGCCCGGCTGGACTCGCTCTCGTGAGTGGAGGCGAGGGGCGCCGTCACGGTTGGCCTGCACCGATCTCATTGGGCCATCCTCCCTTGGTCCCTTCTTCCTCCAGGCTCCAAGTCCTTGAGGGTCCTCCGACTTGTCTCTCATCGCGCACGCTTTGTGGCCGTACCCCTGGCGCCCGAGACTGGATGGTGACCTGGATCGCCTCCCGATCAGAAAACAATGTCCACTCGTAGCCTGCAGGCAGCACACGGGAGTGGTGCGAGTGCAGGCAGAGACGGCCACTTGGAGGCGAGAGGTACATGCGGCCGCAGGCAGCCAACACCAAGCTGCCATGTCACTCGGGCATCTCCTATTTTTTAAAAAATTGCGCATAATCTGCCTGGCCTCATGTCGTCGTCTTAACGGGATGAAAGCCATGGAAACCCCCGATTCTCGGTCGCAGATTCTGCTGGTTTTCCAAGCCGCTCAATCCTCGCCTCCCCGTCTCTGGAACTCTCACAACACCGCCCGATCAACGAGACCAAACCACGCTGACATTCTCATTCTCCCGTGCTGTCCGTCTTGGGTTCGTTCGTTCGCCTTCCCGCACGCACACACGCAAACATTCGCACACATTCGGGCCAGACATACTATACGCACACTTTGTTATTGCTTTAGGGGCTTCTGGCGTCTGCACGTACGCCCTTACTCGCCTGGCTGGCTGCGTTTGCCTCTGCTGCTATCCCGTTTCTTTCCTGCTGGGCCTTTCGCAGCCAGAAGGACAGAATGCGTCCGCACAGTCCCTTGCCTCGCCGTCTGGCCCTCCTCAGTGTACGGATGGATACCTTACCGTTACCGTCGCGCGGTTCACCGTCTCTCACCCCCTCTCTTCCGGCCGCCTCTTTCTCTCTCTCTCTCAGTCGTCTCCTCTTCCTCCGCCCGTTCCATTTCCCCCCGCCGTTCCCGTCACATCCGTTCCTACTAGGGCCCAGCGAGGGTCACCTCCAACGCACACCAACAATCACATTCTCTGCCGCCCATTTCTTCTCTTTTATTACTCATTAAATCTTTGCATGCCGTCTCTTGTCCCTCCACTCGCGGCCGACGAGACTGGCCGTTCCCTTTTGTTTACAACATTGGCAGCAAGCCCGCTTCTTATCAAGATGATCAGAGCATCTCATCTTCTCGTCAAACACATTTTCTCGAGGACAGACGTTGTTGGCCTGGATGAGTCTCTTCTTGCCAAACCAAGATTTTGCTTCTTTCCCCCCCGCTCATATTTTGGCTGACCTTCTGGTGCGGAGGGCTAACAGGCAGTCGTCAGTCCTTCATCAGACGGGCCATATCTTGTCTGGTTGCGGCCTGAAACCGTGTCTGCCTGAGGCATCCACATTTCTGCGCTAAAGGGCTGATTGGACTGCCGTAGCCACTCATATCAAAGTGTCCACCGCCTTTCGGGACTAGCTCCAAGTAAGTACTGGTACCTTCGTACCCTGTTTTCCTGAACCCACGGGCTTTGGCTTTCGAGTCCCCCGTCGTCTCCTCCCTCCAAGCCCGTCGAGAGCCACAGAGAAGAGAAGTCTCCCTCTGGGCTGTCTCTTGCTCGCCTTCTCTTTTCTCAGGCAGCGTGTGCTCCTGCTGGCTTGCCCACCAGGCTGGTCCAGGGTTTGCTGGCTGGCCGCTGTGGTAGAGCCAGTGCTCCCCAACAGCGACAAGCCTCCTTCAGCAACAGGCTGCACACCTCACACTCGCTGCTCCAGCACCGCCTGTTGCACCAACCCAGGGCAATGGGTGATGCTGAGGTCACAGGTGAGTGACGGGTCTGCGCGGGCACCCTTCCTTTTCCTTCCACCCCAAAATCCCATCTTATCCCCCCCTCCCTCATCCCCCCCATCGAGTCCGCAGCGGCACACCAAAGCACAAGGTGCCAGCCAGCCCAGCCCAGCCAGTCCTGGTTCGGTCCCAGTCCTGGTCCCCCCCAACACCCCAAGTCAGTTCCGACCAGCAGAACAGGAGCAGTGCAGTCACTGTTCCCCTACCCGTTCGCCCTCTCTCTTTTCGGCTTGGCCTGGTCTCTGGTCCGCACGCACCTGCACCGGTACCTGTCTCGCTCAACTCGCACACACACTCTCGCACTGCACCGCACTGCTACTGCTTGGTACTGCTGCTGCTGCTGCTACCTCTCCTTGGGGACCCATCCATCCATCCATCCTTTCCAGTCCTTCGTGTCGTGCCCCCTCTCTTCCTCTCTCTCAATCTCTTTTCCCTCTTCACCCTCGTCGCCAAAATCACCATTCTCTCCCTCATTTTCGGTCGAAACCACTCGGATTCCTCATCATCCTACCTACCCTCGACTCGATACACCCTTTCGACCCGTCCTATCCCTCACCGTCGACGAGGCGCATCCGCTGAACCCTTTACCTCGACTTCGTCTGCCCTTCCACGCCTCCCCGTGGCCACACGCACTTCGCGATCATTCGAAAACTTTTCCACCCGACGCCCACAACACAACCTCGTGACGTGTCGAGACGGCGTATTTGGTCCCTAGACACAGCTGGAGACTCGGAGACCAACTCGATTCCTCGATTTTCGGCTTCCTGGACGGCTTACCCTTTGAACCCGCCTCGTCCGCTCTTCGAGTCCTTTCCTCGACCTTCGCTACGACTCTCGACTTTGCTGAGACAGCCTGTTTTCCGACGAATGACCACAAAATCTGGCGTCGCTGTTCCTTCGGCTTCCTCGACGACTAGTTCCTGCGCGTCTGTACAGGCGTCGTCATGCTACCCAAGCCGCTACGGTAATCAGCTCACGCATACCTCGACTCCAAGCTCCCTTCCGAGGCAATCCTAGATTATGACAGAAAAGCCCCAGCCAGTGTCGACGCAGCTCGCGACTCCTAGTCAGACCCTCTTCGCTCCCCCGAGTGTACCAGTCTCAACCCACGATGTTCCACGGAAGGTCGAGACAGTAGAGGAAGAAGAGCCCTACACTATCAAGTGTATTTGCCACTTCTCTGATGATGACGGAAACACGATTTACTGCGAGACATGCGACACCTGGCAGCACATTGAGTGCTTCTACCCCAATAGCCGCGAGGAGGCTCTCCGTGAGGACTTTGCCCATTCGTGTGCTGACTGCAAACCACGCCCTTTGGATCGGCAAAAAGCTATCGAGCGAACCCGTCGACTGAAGAATGGCGGTGCTTCGGGAGAAACGCCAGACAAAAAGACCAAACGGCTTCCTACCAAAAGCCACAAGAAAAAACCGAAGCCCAACGAACTGCAATTGAACGGCCACCCAGGGGCCCAAGAAAATGCAAAGCACGGAAGTCCGAGCGACCATCCTCCTCCCCCAGCCAAAAAAACGAAATCATCCCATCGACCTTCACACTCGATTAGTTCGCAGAGTGCGAAGCGGAGCCCTTCGTACGGAAACGGACGTGCCCAACCCAACGGCCATCCTCCCAGTCCAGCTACCACGCCCCCAGATCTTCCGAGTGATTTTCAAATACACAACTACTCCGACGGGTTTTTGAACCTCACCAAGAAGGAGGTCGACGCCCCAGAGGTTGAAACAAATTCCTTTGCTAGCCTCAACATCTCCAACACCATGTCCATCTGGCTCCGCGAGCCCGAACGAATGAGACAAGAAACTGGCGAAGAATTCAACGACGTCTTCGCCAAACTTCCTGCCGATATCGAGTCACGGAAACGTCCGCTGCAAGTTGAGAGCAAGAAGCTCTCACTTGGACCCGACACGGTTCTGCCTTGGCAATATCTGGCAACTCCCGCGGCTATCGAAAAAGACGTGCCTTTGATTGAGCTCAACGGCCAAATAGGATTTCAGAAGGACTACTGCGCGGACCCAGCCAACCTTTGGGAGGAGTTGTCCTCCCCTCTGCCGTTCGTATTTTTCCACCCGATGCTTCCGCTTTACATCGACACCAGGCGAGAGGGATCGAAGGCCCGGTTTGTCCGCAGAAGTTGCAAGCCAAACGCTGTCTTGGACACGTACCTGAACGGTCAATCGGAATACCACTTTTGGCTCGTGAGCGATCGCTACATCGCAGCGAATGAGCAAATCACCTTGCCGTGGGACTTCAGACTTCCGAAGAAGGAAAAGGCACGTATTCTCCACCTCCTTGGACTGGGCGACGACGACACACGCGCGAGCGACGAACCTGATATGAACGACGTTGAGTACCAGCGGATTTCCGGTTGGGTCTATCGAATTCTCTCGGAATACGGTGGATGTGCTTGCGACTTGGGTGCCAACTGTGCTTTCGCCCGTTTCCACCGCCATTACCACGCAAAGATGCAGTCTCGACCTATTGCCCCAAAGAAGAAGAGGAAGGCCAAGACACATACTATCTCCCCAACAAGCACTGGTCACGCTACAAATAGCCGAGCGGCTAGTGAAGGTCATCAAGACGACCCCGAGGCTGATGGCAAGTCGGTCTCCGAACGCAGCAAACCTCCTAGCCGAGACCGTACCCCCGCACGCCAGGGCTCACTGGATCGACCGGGCATACTCACCGAGCCTACAGACAGGGACAAGAGGAAGGTCCAGATGGTAGAAGATTCATTCCGTCGACTCGAGCAACAACCGCCCCGCAAGAAGAAGCGTACTTCTGATGGAACCGGATCGACCAAGTCGAAGCAGAAGTCCACCACCAGCAATGCCTCGACGGGCACGGGCAACTACGTGGACGCTGGCACTTCACGCAGCAAGTCAAATTCACCTGTCAATGGGGCGTCCCCTCCGGGGCAAAACCCCTTCAAGACACCTGCATCCCGAAACGGGTCCGTCGCGACACAGTCGGGACGTGAGTCTTCGGCGCCTCGTCCAGTCTACTGCGACGCTGGCGTTCAAACCGATCCCGTCGAAGGAGAGTGGTACAGTGAACCAGCTCTGACGCCGAAGCCTCGGCGCCGAATCATTTCTCTCTCTCAACGGTTGCTGAACAACAGGCATCGTTTGCGGTGCGATGAAGCCGAGAGACGGAAATCACTCCCAACACCCTCTGTTCCAGAGCCTTCGACGACACCAATGGACATCGATTCTACGGCGGACCAGAAAGCAACATCAGTCAGCTCACCCACACCATCGAAGGATACCAATGAGCAAGGGCCCAACAGTTCTCCTCTGGCCCCATCAGCCAGTGACATTCCCATGACTGATGCGCCAACAAGCTCGCCATCTGCAGCAAAGTCACCAGTCCAAGCCGAGCCAACTGCTGATGTCCAAGTCAATGGAGCCAGTAGCCCACTGAAAACCAAGTCGCCTGAGCTCAGGGTACAAATGCCACCAGTTCCGGCGTTCAACGGACCCACAACAGGACCAGCGAGCGCGACAACGCCCTCTTCGGCCAGCACCACGGTGCAGTCGCCTTTCTCCACGGGCACCCTTCCCAGCCCATTTGCACCTTCAGTTGTCAACGGCGTCGCGGCACACCCGAGCCCAGCCAAGAAGAAGCTGAGCCTGAGCGATTACACCAAGAGTCGAATGAACAAGAAGCCAGCTGGCGGACTAAAGACGTCGCTAGCGGGAACCGAAGAGTCCAAGCCAAATATGGACTCCATTGTTGGTTCGCCAGCGACGGAGAAGAGCGCTGAGACCCTGCCACCTGTTCAGGGCAAAGCGGTCAACTCTATTCCGGCAGTGGCGGCAGCGAACAATTCCTTGTAACATATATAGACTGGTGTTGAAGTATGCTTTCGGGACGATACGACCACATTTTATCATTCCCCTCTAAATACCACAAACCCAAGGACGGACGGTCTGGTTCCATTTCGGCGTTACGGCGGCGACGGACAGGGGAAACGGTCTGGTCAGCGCTTTTCGGAGATATCAGTTGTATGCGTTTTATTTCTGTTTGGAGATGCTACGAAAGAGGAAAAACCGCCACGCACGGCATGTTGGACGAAAACATACACCCGCCTTGACGAACGACTCTTTTCATGTCGAACCAGATGGGAAGCGTTTTCTTTTTCTTTCTTTTTTCTGTTCCTGGTGGGAACTCTGGCGTAACGCAAGGCAAGGAGACAAGCGCTTTCAAAGGGGATATTTGGGAAACGGGGTTGAAAAGAGGATTCTACTTTTTCCACCTGCCTCGTGGCAAAATCTTTTTTATGTATTTCTAGGCTTGATAGCAGAGCCAGTGAGAGTGGCTTTGCACCGGGCATCGCCCCGGGCTCCCACGACGACGAAAAGGATCAAATGGATGAACTTGTGCAGCCACGGCGCTGCTTTCCCGGCTCAATTCTGTCCCTTCTAACTTGTGATATGTTGAGACACCCGAACTTGGATGGCTGTTGTTCTTTGAAGTGTTCAATTCTTTGTCTATATGCCCTATCTGCGGAAGTGGCATTTTGTGTTTGTTTTTACTTTTACAGGGTATCTTTTGTTTTCCATCGTATGATACAAACGGCCCGAATCCACTCTGCCGTCCCATGAATCAAGAAAAGACGAAAAGCCGGATGGACATGCAAGTCCAGTCCGGTCGAAGGGGGATGCATCTTATAGCAAAAGGCACATCATATATGCGTTAAAAGACACAGAAGAGGCGCAAATGACCCTCGCTCCCAACTTGAGTCGGAGGAAAATCAGTATCGCTTGGTCGTCATGCCCCAGTTGTCCTCCTTAAAGATGAGCAGGGCAAGACGGTGCCGCACAAACAGGCCGAACAGGCCGACGCCGGCCTGGAGGAAGGTGACCTCCCACGCGAGGCGGTCCTCCCTCAGGGGGCCGCGCCAGACGAGCCAGAGGTTGAGGAGGGTGAAGTTGCTGGTCTCGACGAAGCGGCCCTTGTCGTCGGTGGTGACCTTGAGCAGGCGCAGCTTGCCGAGGAGGTGGAGGGCCTGGGCGACGAGGGGGTGCGGCTGGCGCTCGGGGCTCCAGGGGGTGACGCTGGGTTCGAGGAGGCCGGAGCGGGCGTTGAACTTGGGGAGGCGGTGGCGGGGGCAGGGGACGAGGCCGAAGATCTGCGGGGTGGAGTAGAGGAAGTTGAAGAGCTGGGGGACGAGGAGGAGGCCGAGGGTCTTTGAGAAGTGGCCGAGGATGCCGACGGTGGCGAAGACCATGCCGGAGAAGTAGCAGTAGGTGTCGCCGACGAAGACCTTTGCGGGGTACCAGTTGTGGGCGACGAGGGCGAGGGAGACGCCGAGCCAGGGGAGGAGGAGGTAGAGGGAGAAGAGGTGGGAGTCGGTGGCCGGGTGGGGGTAGGGTGTGAAGAGGTAGAGGCAGTCGTTGAGGACGAGGAGGAGGGAGACGACGATGCACTGGGAGACCTCGATGCCGTTGATGCCGGCGAGCATGTTGATGGACTGGGGGCAGAACATGGCGACGCAGGCCATGTAGATGTAGTAGAGGATGCCAAGGTCAAAGAGCTCGCCCAGGTAGGGCTGGAGGGGGATGGGCATGACGATGGAGGTGACGCCGAAGTCGACAAAGTAGATTACGAGGATCGGGATGGAGGCCAGGCCGGGGATCCACCACTTGTGACGCCATCGGATGTCGAAGAGGTCGTCGCCGATGCCGAGGAGGGCGGTCGTCTGGAGGGAGATGATGGCGGAGAGCCAGGAAGCGAGCTGTTGTCGGACCAGAAAGTGTCAGTATATACTACATAGTTGCGGGCTGTGAAGCAAAAGGAGGACAACCGACCTTGCTGTGAGGGAAGCGGTGCAGGAAGCGACCCTGCTGGACATGCTCGACGTGGAAGACGACGTCCCTGTTGCCTCCTCCGCTGGTAGCGGCGACGATGTCCTTGTAGAAGGGGAAGGGGATGAAGACGATGACGATGAGCAGGTAGACGGCGGCGCAGACGGCGCCCATGCACTCGGGCAGCTCGGGGCGGTGGTGCTTGGAGAGGTCGCGGCCCTTGAAGCCGGCGCGGACGAAGACGGGGCCAAGCCAGCGGACCATGGAGTAGGCCAGGGCGAAGGCGAGGACGGAGAGGGCGAGGGAGGCGATGAGGGGCTCGCCATCGCCGGAGAAGGTGTTGAGGAGGACCGCGACGGCCGCGAGGGAAAGGGCGGAGAGGGAGAGGGTTTCGGTTCGGGTGAGGGTTGGGGACGCCATTTTGTCGGGTTGCGATGCGATGCGCGCGCTGGGGGGCGGCAGCAGCGCGACTTCTTTTTGGGGGGTTGCTGCTTATCTCCCCCCTTTTTCTCTTCTTTCCTTCTTTCTTGCTTGCGTCCTTATGATCGGCCAAAGTTCATTGTGCGCTGTGCTAATTGAGTGGTGCGCGGGTGTTGGGGTTGGAGAGTTGAGGCTTTCACGACGTGGGTGACGACGTGGGTGACGACGTGGGTTTTGCGACGGGACACAGTTGCAGCTGGAGGTTTCTTCGAGATTGGAGAAAGAAAGGGTCCTGTTCGCTGCACCGCAGTTGGGCTGGGTTGGTTCCCCACCGACCGCGTTGCCGTGAGGCTTGTTCATCTCCCATGTGGGCGGAGTGTTCCATGTCACTTGCGGGCTGCCGAGAGCTGCGGGGCAGTGAGGAGTGGGCAGCTGCACCTAAGTTTGGCAGCCGAAGTGGAGCCGGGGAACTGTTCCTGGCTGGTCGTGCAGATGGTTTTTTTCTTTGGAGGAGGGAGGTTCCTTGGCAGAGTTCCATCCTGGGCGAATGGGAAAGACTTGTTTCTGGTGTTTCTCAACTCTGGGTCTCTGCGCAATTCAGGACTCTGCAACTGAAAGTCTAAGTCTCTAGTTGCCGTTTCTGATATCACACGAAGGGGCTGCACTATATATCAGCACTAGGACGAGAGCCTCATCATCAGATGACAGCCGTTACGCTTCCTGATATGTCATCCTCCCCAGACTGCGGAATTGATTCCTCCATGTCTTCTCAAGGCATGCACTACGACACAGGAATCGAGACGGATTTAAGCTGCATTCCACGCCAGCGGTGTCTACCCGTCTTGTCCGTTAACAAAAGTGCCGTTTATCCGTCAACTTGGTGGTCAGCACCAATCGAAGAAAGGGCGTGCCATTCGAAGATCGTCGCATTCCGTTCCGCGACTAAGCATCTCCCCGCGAATCCCGCATTTTTCTAGTCACCGCCTCCATTATAAATCGGTGAATTCAGATCCGAGGAAGATCCATGGCCCCCCTCCGAGCCAACCACACTCCCCGTCTTTCCCCCGATTCCTCCCCCAAGCAACCCGTCTCTAATGTTTTTCTTCCCGCCCTGTCTGTGGCTATTGCCGTCGATGCTTCCCCCAGGGGGCTTTCCTTCTCCTCCTGTCAAAAGCGTCTCCGAACGGAACCAATTGCGGAGATAAAGACGTGGAGTTAAGGCCAAGCCAACGGGAGGCGGAAGCTAACCCGCTGCAGGTCACCCGCTCCGGGCGATGATGGAATTTTTCTGGCTCTTCGGGGAGAGACAGGAAGAAGCCTGCCAAATCATGTTACACCTCTACGTTTACGTGCCGCCAGCCCATCCCCTCTTCTTCGATGATCATCCATCCCTCTTTGCCTACCTAGGGTAGATGCGGCTTTGGGGTGGGAAGGTGAGGGGGAAGGGGAAGCTACTGCACTTGGGAGCTGGGGTTTGAATTACTAAAGCACCCTTTTTCTTATTTCCCCAGTTGACGTTGTTCCCGAGTAATGTGTGCCTTTGGCTAGAAATGGATAAAATGGCAAGCTGCCCGTTGCCTTGCATGCTTGCCGAGGCCGGGGTGGTGTAGTATACGGTCTCATCGACCACCCTTTTGCTTATTCTCTGTCCGGGGTCCTCATTGTTCCCTTTCAACCTACACTCACCTAGGATTCTTCTTTTTCTCCTTCCTTCACACCTATCCTATCTTTCATTTTCTTTCAACCTCAAGTTGCCAAGTCTTCAGAACCCACACCGCCGCCCCTAAATACTTCGCCACAGCCGTCATGGAAAAGGACGTGGAGACGAATCCCACCACGGCCGGCGGCGGCGGCGCCCACGGGCTCCGAGGGGGGTCCTCATCCGAACAGGGCACTCTCGCGGAAAAGGAGGCCGAGCAGGCTTTTGCTTCTTCAGATGAACTGGAGAAGGGAGAAAAGACCAAGATGGCGGAGGAGCGAAAGAGTTTCGAAGACGTTGAGGAGACGGCCGACAGTGAGCCGTACCAAGAGGTAAGTTTCCCGCTCAGTCATTCTGAGGCCCCGTGCGCCAAGACTTCATGATGAAGTGCGATATAACCAACAATTGTTTTTTATTACTCCGTTCCGCCTGGAGCTTCAACTGTGTCTAGTATAAGAGTCTTGGTGAAAAGACATCATGACTGAAACTCTGTGCAAAAACAGGACATCATCGAGCGCACACAAACAACACACACCCACGCCAGCGCCCGCAGCCGCCTCTCGCGCATCGCAAGCCGCGTCTCCTCGCGCCGCAGCAAGCCCCGCGACCAGCTCCCGCCCACCGTCCACCCGCTCTCCGACCTCGACAATGGCATCGTCGGCTGGGACGCCCAGGACGACCCGGCCATACCCATGAACTTCGACCGCCGGCGCAAGTGGATCATTATCTGGTTCCTCGCCGGCATCACCTTCATGACGCCCTTTGCCTCCTCGATCCTCGCGCCCGCGATCGAGTACTTCAATGACGACTTTGGCAATGATGATCTCACGCTGGGCACGTTGCCGGTTTCGATTTACTTGCTGGGTTATGGTGAGTGTTGCAAGAATTATCAGAGTTAGCTGTGTTACTGACACGTAGTAGCTGTCGGCCCCTTGTTCCTAGCTCCCCTCTCAGAGATCTACGGCCGCCGTCCCGTGCTTTCGGCGGCCAACTTTTTCTTCTGCGCATGGCTGATCGGTTGCGCGCTCGCCCCGTCTCTTAACGCCCTTATCGTGTTCCGCTTCCTGGCGGGCGTGGGCGGCTCCGGGTGTCTCGCTATCGGCGGCGGCGTCATCGCGGACATGATCCCGGTGCAGGAGCGCGGCAAGGCGCTGACAATCTGGATGGTCGGCCCCCTGATCGGTCCCACGCTGGCGCCCATCCTCGGCGCCTTCATCGCCCAAGACATCGGCTGGCGCTGGTCCAACTGGATTGCCTTCATCGCCGCGACGCCCATGGCCGCCGTCATCGCCGTCTTCAACCAGGAGACCAACCCGCGCGTACTCATCGACCGCAAAGTCGCCCGCCTACGCCGCGAGCTGAACCGGCCCGAGCTGCGCAGCGTGTACCTCGACACCTCCCCGACCGCGCCCAAGTCAAACTCCCAGGTCCTCGTGCGCGGCCTCATCAGGCCCATCAAGATGCTCTTCCTGTCGCCCATCATCTTCAGCGTGAGCCTCTACATCGCGTTCGCGTACGGCACGCTGTACCTCCTGTTCAGCACCATCCCGCTCGTCTTCCACAACAACTACGGCTTCGAGATCGGCATCACGGGTCTGGTGTACATCCCGCTCGGCCTGGGATACATCCTGGGCATGGCCGCCTTCACGATGCTCTCGGACAGGACCGTCGTGCGCATGACCAAGGCCAACGGCGGCGTCTACGAGCCCGAGATGCGCCTGCCGGACTGCATATACTTTGCCTGCCTCCTACCGGTGACCTTTTTCTGGTACGGCTGGACGACCCAGTACCACACGCACTGGGCGGCGCCAGTCATTGGGCTGTTGCCGTTCGGCATTGCGATCCTGGGTATCTGGCAGCCCATACAGTTGTACATCATCGACGCATACCCCACTTTCGCCGCGAGTGGCCTGGCTGCTTTCACGGTTTTCCGCAGCATCGTTGCGGCATTCCTACCTATTGCGGGCCCTCCCATGTACGACGCTCTGGGCTTAGGCTGGGGAAACAGTTTGCTTGGTTTCATTGCTATTGCGCTCATCCCGGTGCCGACTCTGATATACCATTACGGAGGTCGTCTACGCAAGTGGCAGAAGCTGGTGTTATAGAGAACTTGGTCGTACTTTGGTATGATAGATCGGGCGGCCAACGAGGCAGGTGGTACATATACCCTTATAGATTGTTTGCTAGCTTATTACAATATCCGTTTCACCACATATGACCGTTTTGATGAGATGGTGTTGATGTGTAATGAAGGTTCGTTCTATTCCGGTTTAAAAGCCATCCAAATCACCGTGAAATGGTATCCGTGGAGGAATATTATCATTATATGTCGGCCGTTGCATTCGTCAGCGGTTTATAACCGTTCCCTGTGTGCTCTCTCAGATGAGATCCCACTTCATAATACCGGTCCAGCTCATGCCGACCTTCCCCTTCTTCGAGAAGTACTCCTTCGCTGTCACACCTCTGGCATCGCGCCCGTCAATTGTGGTGATCATGACGACACTGATGCTGCCACCCGGTGCGCCGAGGTCGATTGCATTGACATCCGCCCAATGCCAGAATCCATCAGTCTCGATGGGAACCATGTCCTGCTTGCGACCATCACGCCCATTGATGCTCAGCAGGAGCAATGGCGGCTTGCCCAAGCCGTGCTTCTCTGAAGTCCAATGCTCGCAAATCTTGGAGAACTGGAAGCGAACCACCTTGCCGCTATACACTGGAATCTGGAGCTCCGCAGGCTGAATGGACTTGTCCCAGATACCCTCCTCGTGGCAATTGTTGTAGACGACAGGAGTGTCGCCATGAACGGGGCCAATATAGTACTCCTCCCAACTTGGTACTCTACCGTCGGGACGGAAGAAATGTCTGTTGTCTGACGGGTAGTGACTGAGACCAAAGATGTCGTTCCTTCTCGTGAACTCGTGCGGCTTGAAGGCAGGAGTAAACTCCTTCGTCACATCAGAGACATTGCCAGCGCCCCAACAAGCATCGAGGAGCTTCCACTCCCCGCCGTCGATGCGCACAGCGTTCCAAGCATGGCCGTCGGCCTTCTTAGGCGGGGGACGCTCCCCCTTCTTCAAGGCCGTGTACCCATAACCTTTTCCATGTCCTCCAACCGTAATACATTCGAGACCTGCGCGGTTGGCAATCTCCTTGTACGTATCCGCATAGCCGGCGCAAACAGCCCTGCCCTTGAGAATGGTCTCGGCTCCGCCCTGCGCTCTGACGTTGTTGCCGAAGAAAGCGGCGCAGTCGTAGGCGATATTGTGGTGGAACCAGGTGAAGATGGCTCTAGCCTTGTCGGTGTGGGACGAGAAGGGGCCGCAAAGTACTTGGGCAAGGTAACCCACTGGGTCGTTCCTCGGCACAGATTGTCTCGGGTACTGAGCTGCAACACCATCTGGACCAGAGAAGTCGCGGCATATTAAGCAGTCGTTGGCGCGGGCCACAATCTTGGCTTCTACAGCTTCGATTTGTGCTACGCTGGGCCGCGAACTGACGGGTACCGGAGGAGGTGCATCATCTGCAGCACCTGGTCGCCTAGTGGGCAAAGGTGGGATGTTTCTTTGTTGCTCCTGGACATGGCCATTTGCCTGTGGCTGCGGCTTGACATATGCTGCCGGGGCAGGTGGTAGTCGCCTCGGTTTCGCTGGCGCCTCTTCCTCCAAAGCCTGTGGTTGAACTTGCTGGTTGGTTGACTTGGACGTCAGACGCGGGGGCAACGCAGGTCTTTGCGGCGCCTCGATTTGTCGGACGACTGGAGCTGACTTTATGGAAACGAGGGGGTATTTGGCTTGAGGAGGGTCCCGAGCGGCAGCTTCTCTTGCTTGAGCCTCCCGCTCGCGTTTTGTGGGTGGCAATGCTGGTAAACTGGCTTGGTCAAATGCAGGCGGCAGCTTTCGTCCGGGTCCATCAGACGTAAAACTGGTAGCTGACGATATTGTCTGGTTCAGAGACAAGGAAGACAGGTTAGAAATTTCAGAGGCGTTGGAGTTGCGACGGACTTCCAACTGCTGGGTTGAAGGCCTCCGAGGGGGCAGAGCGGGTGAGATGTTTTGGGTGCTAGAGCGGGTAGGGAGAGGGGGGGGCGCGATTCGGTCCCTGGGAACTGGTGATGTCGATGGCTCGACTTGGGGGGAATCGGTGGTTCGACGCGGGAGAGGAGGTGGGCCGGGCTTTGCAGCTGCTGCTTTGGTCGGGCGAGGAGGAATCGTCGGGCTCTTTTGAGGAGTCGGCTGTCCGTTGGTGTGGACAACGGGCAGTGTCTGGCTTCGAGCTGCAGGGCGATTCGGCGGCGGTGGAGGAGGCGGCCTCTTGGTCTTGGTCTCTGCTGGCGCCTGGAAGTTTTTCTGGGAATTTAAGGCGGCGATTCTCTCAGCGAGAGTGTTGAACTTGGGTTCCTCGACATCGGCCATGGCGAAGACTAAGTCAATTGGGATTGCGGTGTTGGATTGAGAGAAGGGGGGATTTTGGCGTCGCGAGTCGGAGCGCGAACGGGTGGGATGTTATATGACGATCTGAGTGAATGGGTATTGTTGGTGTCAGGTATGGGATTCCTCCCCACCAATCCAGGCCTTGTCTGGTCGCGGCGAGCCAACCCAATTGAGCAATAGGCAGCAGGCTGTGAGACGGCGCCCGAGTCACGGCTCCTTCACGAGTGTCGGGATTGTGGCACGGCGGGGTCGAATAGGTGATCCGTAGAGACTGACTGGTTGTGTGGTTGCCGAGCAGTTGAAAAGGGGGATGATTTGCAGGTCAAAGGAGGGGGAAGGGGGGATGCCGAAGTTAATAATCGTATTAATGGATCGTAAAGACGTGACAGATGGAAATAAAAGGACAGACAGCAGCGTGTCGTGTTTGTGGTTGTTGGACGGACGTAGGCAGAAACAAGTGCTGGACAAGCGAAGGATGATCGATCGATGGCACGGCCACGGGCACCAACAGCTGGATAGCAGTTGGCGGTGTCACAGAGAGAGAGGGAGAGTGAGGACGAGACGAGGTTGGTTGGATTGTGGCGGTGCTCTCAGCCTCTGTTGCTCTGCGCTGTTGTGGTAAGAGGTGCTCTGCGCTGCGCTGTGTCTGCGGGTTGGATTGCCGTTGCAATCAGGTAAAGTGGCTGCCGCAAGTACCTCGCCTCGAATGGGTGGATCTGGTAGGGTGGTAGGTAGCTAGGTAGGACGGGCAAGGGAGTGGCAGGCAGCAGCGGCAGGTCTGGTTGGTCGCGTCGGGGTCTGGCAGGCTCGGGGCGCGAGAAAGATTGAAGCTTAAGGCTTAAGCTGTGACAGGGAACGGGAACGAGACGGGACAAGAACTGGACGTCAAGGTTCGCGTTGCACCGCACTGTCCAATGGATGCTGCAAATGACCCCAGGTTGCAGGCCCAAGAGACAAATTGCAGCAAGCAACGGGAGCAAACACCAACAGCCAGGGCAGCCGAGGGCAGAGGAAGCATGAAATCGCCGGCACAGGGGTCGGACGGCGGAAGGATGAGAGATGGGATGGATTGATCAAAGACGGGGCGCGATGTCTCTGGCTGCCTGCCCTGCTTTAAAAAGAACACCTAGCGGCAGAGAAGAGAACAAGAAGCACAGAACACGGCCGTCTGATTTCGTTTTATTTTATTTTTTTCCCATCGAGGCCCCGGGCCATGTTGGTGGGGTCGCGTCCCTTGGTTCCCTTTGTGTTGGTCCCGTCTCGGTCTGGATCAGTCGGCACAGCCCAGCCTTGCTAGTGGGGGAACTGTGGGGATACCCCCCTGGACGAACACGCTAAGGGCGATCGCCGCTATGTATTCTTGGGTGCCTCGTAATGATGGAATAATGTCAGAGAAGTTGACAGTTGCGTTGAAGATATGGCAATCTGGTTGAGGTCTTCAGAGGGAGCCTTGCCATGTTGAAGACGTGCGGGGCTTAGACTTCATCTTGTGCAACTGACAGAAGACTTGGGAATTGGCAACCCACTCGATGAACGTCCCGAAACACACAGTCAGAAACCCATCTGCCCACTTCGTTCTCCACGGAGGCGTCATTGCGCCGTGTTACGAGGCAAGGAAGTCCTATGGCGACGCTAACAACACGACAAACGTAAGCTGCCGTGACTGAGCCAAGACTAGACGACCCATGTCGACTTCAGACTTCAGCCACTGCTAAGACATGCACTTGGAGCATGTCCCAGGCTGTGAGGGAGATGCCGTCATTAGCGTCTTACCTAAGGTAGGTAGGAAAGGTAGGTAGCCAATGGAAACCAAGGCCAACGGAACAGGTTCTACAATTATGTATCTTTTCTAGGTCATTGCCAGCCTTGCGTCGTTCGCGCATAGATACACATACATCTACGCATGCTGCTGTTTTGATGTCGATCCCGAGTCTTGCAGTAGTTACGAGCTGTCGCCGTTGAATCTGAGTAGTTGCTTTAATACCCCAACTCACCAGCGTCCAACTCAAAGCACATGGTCGTGTTTCTCACCCAGCCCGTTTCGAATACTACCCTGAGTAAAGACAAAGACCAAACTGGGAACAAATGTATAAATACACACATCCATGATCATTACAGTGGGGGGAGACGGTCCCCAAAGGCCTCCAGGTACAATGGAACGGCAGGTGGAGCCGGATCAGATTACCTGTGTCCCGTCTGCTGCTGCGAGAGATGCTGAGGCGCTAAACTCTTTTCTCCCGCCAGAGCGCCTCGCCTCGCCTCCCAGCGAATGGACTACAGCAAAGCTCATCTTCCACTGTTCACTGGGTGGTGGCTACCTACTGGCTGCAGCTGCACCTGCATCTGTACGAATACCCGCGCCTCTTCACTAGCCCAGCTGTCCCGTCGCCCGTGCGCAAGGAGATGGGGGCCCGGGGCGGACCACAATGACAATGAGCAGGGAGTGGCCGGGGAATGTCCTTGGATTCTTGGAGCATACGGTGGGCCGAGGGCGGGCGCATCGTCCTCTGGTCCAGAGGGCGGCCTGGTCTGCCACCCGCACTCTCAGGTGTGGTGGGAGACTGCACCGATCAGTGAGGTGACGAGTGTGCAGGCTGCAAGCTGGCTTGGCTTGGCCGGTAGGGACCTTAGGTACGTATTGTGGCACTGGCACCGACACCAGCCAGCGGCAGCGGTAGCGGCACTAGTCCACGTCTTCCTGCATTTGTCTTGGTCTTCCATGTGTCTTGCCTTCCCCAATCGCCAACCCTCCACTCAACGAGGCGGGCACGAGGCAGAGACCCTTCCTTGAATTTCGACGAGACGGAATCGACATCTTTCTGCTGCCTCCAGGTATTCTGGCCTTGCCTGTCTACATCGTCACGTATTCCAATAATACCCATCTACCTCACCTCACCTTACTTGGCTTGTTTAGACGCCGGCGCAATACCCCGCCACGCCCTGCTGAATACATCGACGACTCTTACCTTCGAACCGCTTTCCTTCTTTGCGCCGCCACATTCCATCCTCCACGTCTCCAACCATCGCCCTCCCCCAGCATGGCCTCTGTCGAGCCTTGCGACGAGGCCACCATCGTCGCCCCTCAGCGCAAACCTCTTGCTTTCCTCGAGCTGCCTCTAGAAACCCAGAAGGACATCTTTAGCCACGTACGAACCCGCCTCTCCAAATCTTCTCGGCGCTATGCGACAACAATGTGCTGACCATCCTTCGTAGTGCTGCCAAAGCGACCTCATTTGTCTCGCCCTTGTCTCCAAGCACTTTCGCGAACTTGCTGCCGCGCAGCTCTATCGAAACTTCCACATAGTCTTCCCCGACGAAGATGACCCGTCCTTTGACTCCCCCATCGATAGTCTCGCCGGTGGACTCGAGACCTTCGTGTCAAGCGACTATGACTACGCTCAACATCTGAGAGACATATCCCTGGATACTCTGAGTGCTGGGGACAAGGCCGAGGCTGCCTACAAGCCCTACTTGTACAGCGCAAGTTGCGGCAAGTTTATGAATACTTTGCTGCAAATGACCCTCCAGCACGCCAAGTCTCTCGAGACGTTCAGGTCAGTCTTGTACGTGCTGCATTGACGGTCAACGCTGACTTTGTGCAACACAGGTGGAACATTCGAGTCGAACTCAGCCGGCCCGTCTACAGGACATTACACCAGATCGCGCCCCTCAAGAACCTCCACATTCGCATGCAAGCCGGCCCTTCGCTGTTCGAGATACCTCCTCCGCTCCCGTACACCTCGAGCTTGCCGCCTACCACCAATCAAGGACACTGGGATCCTCTCCCGCCCGCTTTCTCTGCCATTCCTCCTCCGTTTCTAACCATGCCGTTGTCCGTCCCTCCTCCGTACAATCCTGTGCTTGGTCCTCCACCTCCCTTGCCACCTGCTCTTAGGCCTGCACCTAGGAACAAGAAGAGGACTTCCGCCGCGAATGAACCTGCGACTCTATCCGGCTTCCGAAAGCTAAACACCCTCGCCGTGCTTGATGTCGACAACTTGGACGTAGTTACTGAGATCAAGTCATGCGTTCGTAACTCAGCCTCAACGCTTACCAAGTTGAAACTGTCATTCTCCACATGTCTTGCTGCGCAGTCTCGCAAGCCGCCCCCTGATGCAGACCCTGACGACTCCGACCAAGACGATGAATTTCAAGTGGTGCCCATGCCTTCAGCGCCTGGGTGGGACGAAGCAAGTGGACCCGCGAAGGCGTTTCGCGCCCAGGAGGAGCGCAAAAGCCAAGAGTCGGTACTTGGAAGGATCTTCGACGTTGAGCCTTTTTTGAACAAAAAGCCCCAGCAACGCAAGAGTCTAAAGGGTAAAGAGAAGGTTGCGTCAGCGGACGCTGTGATGGCCAAATCTGGGACAGCCGGTGAAGCGTACATGAGCCGCTTGCGGGAAGTTTCCTCGAAGTTGATGGCCATGAATCTCCACGCCGACGACGAATCCAAGCAAGAGGTGTTGGAAATCATTGAGAAAGCAAGCAGGAAGTATCTTGAGGAGGTCGAGATCGCAAAAACAGCCGAAGAGGCGCCAAAGACAAACCAGGCATCATCGGGCGAGAGTTCCTCTACTGCCCCAGGCGCTGCTTCCACAGATACAACGCAAATCACACCTGCTGAAAGCTCTGACGCTACTGCTACTGCCACTGCCGGTGCTGTCGCGGCCGATGTAGCTGATGATAGTTCGAGGCCGAAGGCGAAGGCGAAATCGGGCACGGATGCGAACCCCGAGGATATTAACGTTGAGGAGCCGATCGCGACCGAAGAGGTCGAGGAGCCTTCAGCAGAATCCAAGAACGATCAAGTCAAGGATGCTTCTCCAGCTGTCGCGGAGGCAGTGTTGAAGCAGACCGAATCAAAACCCGAGACTAGCGAATCACTAGCCAAACTTCGAGCAATTTCAACGTTGGCAAAGCAAAGAGCAAACTTCGAAACGCTAGTCGCCCGCCTGCAGCACCTCATTAGCGAAGCCACTCTCCTGTCAGAGAAACTCGACAGCTTGAGAAACGGAGCATATGGTTATGACCGGGAGTACATCCGTGCTTCCGAGAAGCAGCTGCATTCCTTCTATCGGGATATTGAGAATGTGAGAGTCGAACTGAATGCCACCGAGGCTGAGATTCGCGATGTGGAAAAGCAGGTTCATGGTATAGCTACGACAGCCCACGGTGAAGATGAGCGCATCAGCGACTATATCCGGTCAACCAGAGGACTGGCCCTTCGGTCTTTCAGTGTCCACTTGATCCCGGTCAAGGCATCAGTTCTCAAAGCAGCCATTGACGTGCGTGTGCTCAAAAGGCTCACATTGCTCAATGTTGGCAACCAAAATCCTATTTGGACTATGCTGGCTAAGGAGAACAAAATCCAAGGACTCCCGTTGCGCAAGATTTTCACAGATAATGTTTCAAGTACATTTCTCACCTTTGCTGCACAACTAGAGGAAATCACAGAGCTATTCATGTTGGAGAGATCGGTCAAGTACAAACCAGAGAGCTTTGCGCCCAAGACAAATGTCATTATGGACCAAATCCGGAGGCTCGTACTGAAGAAGCACATGCCGACTCTGACGAAGCTGATGATCAAGAACGACTCAGGATCAAGCTGGGATGTGGATGAGAGAGCAATGCTGCTGATTTGCAATCGCGGAAGAAAACTCGAGGAGCTGGCGGCGGCTGTTGGAATCCGCGCCATCGTAAGTATCCCCTGTCATCCTCTCACAGACAGGCTGAGGCGTGAGCTAACTTTCAAAAGCATACATTCATGCAGCACATTTCAGGACTGGTCAATCTGCGAGCACTGAATGTCACTCAGTTCAGGAATGATGATACGTGCGTCTGGGTTATGCGCGAGACCCGTAGATTCATCGTCGACAACCTGTGTCACTACCCGCACCTCAAGCTGGAGTGGATTTCCATCGATGACGACAGGGTCGAGCGCATTATCCGTCCTCCTCCCCAAACCCCCGCTGCGAAGAAGGAAGAGAAGAAAAATAAGAAGGGCAAGGCCAAAGCCAGTGCCGTCACAGGAGGATTTGGCGGACTCGGCACTGAGCAATTCCCACCCCTGCCAATGCCGGGCTGGGACACAGACAGCGACAGCGATGACGAGGATACCGACATCGTTGCCAACACGAAACTTGAGACTGTCGAGGGAGTGCATTTTTATGACGTTTGGGACGTGCGTATTTTCAAGAAGGAAGTCATGGCCGGACGGCTATAGACAAGCGACAAATGGAGTTGGATGAAGTCATGGATGGGTATATTTCGGTTAGGAGCAGCTGGGCAATATCCACCGGGGCAAAGTTATTCGGACACGGCGTCAATGATATGGGAGGGGATTCATCGGTGAACGTCGGATAGCCAATGCCTCATCACGGCAACGAATTTATCGAACAGCATTTTCTTCGCAGGCTTTTGGCTGCTCTAATATGTGGGAGGGTTTCAAGTCCATCCCTGTTGGTGATCCTTTTCCTTCCTTCCACTTGGTTGGCCCCTCGTCCGGTCCAGCACTAGGGAGATTATCTAGAGGCTGCGATGAATTTCTAATACCAACAGCTGGGGAGACTTAGTGATATTTGAAGTGAGCGTTCTCAACACCGACAGGGCCAGTGGTCAGGTCTACAGCGGTGTTAGCGCCTTGGTCATCACAATAACCCTACTTGCTGGAGCTTAAAGTTCGAATCGAATCTTTTGCTTTTGCTTGCCCTCTTGGTGTTGTTCTTTTGCATTTCTACCATCCCGGATCGTTAAGGCCTTTCTAATTAGCCATCTCAGCACTTCACCCCAACAGGACGCAGCCTACCTAAGCCTACCCCTGAACACCCAGAGAGGGCCATGTCTATCGGTCAAGTTTGAATGGGAATGGGTATCAGTCTATTTTTCTCACAGTAGATTGTTTAAAGCGCCAGGAAAATCTCTATGCAGTCTTCTGGTCCATCAGCCTCATGACCTCGTCCTCCTCATCCCCCTCGCCGGCCCTGCGCCTGGCTTCCCTCTCGATCACACTCCTCGTGATCATGCCAGCACTCAGCAAACCGGTCTCCTTCACACTCCTCACCCAGCCTTCCAGACTCCGGAAGCCAACGACAAGGAATCCGAGCTCCTCCCGCTCGACATCGAACACCTCCCACCACGCCACCTCGGGCATCTTGGCCCCGACGTCCCGCGCAGCGATGTACACCGCCGCCGTCGCGAGGGCGTTGGGCTGGTGCGTGAGGTACAGCATCTGCGGGCTCAGTAGCGCCGTGTTCAGGTGCGCAATCACGCGCCCCGCGACCTCGGCCTTGGGCTTGCCGAGGAAGTCCAGCGCCTGGAGGTACGTCACGGCGAGCGAGTGCGGCAGCGAGACCGCCGTATCGAAGCCCAGTGCCCACAGCAGCCGCGCCTCGGCGGCCAGCATCCGCGTCTGGAAGGCGGCGTACTCCCCGTCTGTCTGGTAATACGTCGTCGGGTCCGGGCGGTTGGTCTTGAGATCTGGGGGTTGTTCGCTGCGGAAAAGGGGTGATGCGGAGGATAGCAGGTAGGCGTAGACGTTGGATAGGTCGCGCGTCGAGCGTGGGAGGGGTCCTATTTTGGAGACGAGGTAGATTGCTGCGGCGGAGATGTCCTGGCGAAGGCAGTGCGTTAGCGTCTCTGCGACGAGAAGTAGCAAAGCCAGTGTGGTGAATGCCTTACGCTGAATTCTTGCGCCATTGGCGACTCGACGAGCCAGTACCGCGCAAGGAGGACATTGGCTTGCGCGGTGGTCGACTGCGGGAGGTCCAGCAGGACGCCGGCCGCCTGTGTCAAAATCTGCGTCGCGTAGAAGATGACATCCTGCAGGTCGGCCGGCAGAGAGCTGAAGGTGTTGCGCTTGTAGAGCTGCTCGGCGGTGGCCAGCGGGTTGGTCATGTGCGCCATTGTGTGTGGATGTGCGCTCGCAGTCGTCGTTCTCTTCGGCGCGTCAATCGGCTCGTTCCCTCCCCCTCTTCCTGTTCGCACCACGAATTGTCCTGCGCGCAAGGCTGATAAAGTTGGTCGTGTTCGTCGTGCCACGCAAAGTCCCTATTGGTCGGAGCTGAAGCTGTCAGAATAAGTTAGGCGCGACGGCGACACGGCGTGTGTGTCGTCACTTTCCAGGCCTTCTTGAGCGGGCCCGAGCTTTGGTTCAGCGATCGCTAGGCCCCACTTATCAATGACAGGTCCTACGGAGGTCGGCGCTGCACCACCTGCACCTGCTGGGTACGGTACTGCGCAGCCTAATCGTAGGGTCAGGTACCTGAGGTTCTGCTGCCCGCCGGCTTCGTAAGAGCCAATTCAAGGCAGCTGCGTGGAGAAAAGCTCCCCGGTCTGGCAACATCACACGCTCCCTCGACCCTCTCCGCCCACCCCCGAACGGATACCGTCGAGCGAAAGCTTACACACACCCATCGTCTATCCGGAATTGCTCCCAAACAGCAGTTATCTCAGTGAATCCGTGTCGCCGGCCCAGTCAATGGATGGCCTGACGTCTGGAATCCCCAACTGACGTCTACTACCGCATTCCCCGCATCGGCTTTGTCGGCCAGTCGTGATTCCGTTCCCACGCGTAACCCCGTAAACTACGCAAACGCATCCTCCCCAAAACAACCGACGACGACGACGACAAGAGGACTATCGCCCACCGACAATGGACTACAGCGCAATCTCCCACGACGACAACCCGGGCGGCGCATCGCCCTGGGGCAACTCTCCCGGCTCCTCGCCCAACCCGAATCAAACCACCTTTGGCTCCATCGCCGGGGACCTCGGTGGTGAGCAGCCCGGCTCCCCCTTCCGCTACAGCCCCAACCCCGGAAACGGCGATCAGGAAGGCTTCGGCGGCGAGTTCAGGAGACCCGACACCGCGACGAGCACCGAGTCCGCGACCGAGGTGGAAACGCAAGAGTCCAGGACCGAAGTCGACTCAGCCCGGACAAGCGGCGAGGCGGGACCCGAGACGCCTCAGAAGTCGCAAGAACAAGGAGAAGCCGCGCAGAGCGCGGCCGGTCAGGCCCGTCAGGAGCAGCAGCGCAAGCCTCAGCAGCCTCAGTACAGGCTCCAGGCCAAGATCACGGGTCTCGAGAGGACCGGAAAGAAGGACCCCATCTTGCGATTCGATGTTCACGTAGGAGATGCCCGGTAGTACATTGGTTGCGGTTGGACGAGTGACTAACCCGCGGCCGCAGACAAACCTCCCGAGATTTCGCACCACGCAGTACCGCGATGTCCGCCGATTCCACTCCGAATTCGTCAAGCTTGCCGAACATCTGATCTCAGCGAACCCCGAGTGTCTGGTACCTACCGTGCCTCCCGCGGTGACATCGGCCGGCGCAGGAACGGACGAAGACGAAGCTCGGGTGAAGGCCCTGCTTCAGCGATGGTTCAATTATGTGTGCAGCAACGAGGTTCTCATGAGGGACGACGAGATGGTGCTATTTGTCGAGAGCGACTTTGGTTACAGCCCCATGGTTAAGATGAAGCAGCCTGCGACCGGCGTCCGCAGAAAGATCCTCAAGCAGTTTGCCCCTCCACCCGATGATACCCCGGAGCTGCAAGAAGCTCGCCCAATCGTCAAGCTCTTTTACCTGGGGACCATGGATGCTGGCCACAAGGTCGATAAGCTGGTCAAGTCTCGTCGCGGTAAGTCCACGTCAACCACCTGATAACGCATCCCCTTCACCGGTCTGACATAGCGCAGGACTCGGATTGGCTGAGTCCGACTTTGGCGTCAAGCTTGGCTCCATGACCATCCAAGAGCCCCATCAGGGACTCGCCAACGCCTACCGAAAGCTCGGCAAGATCGTACAGACCGTTGGCGACTACCACGCCGCACAAGCCACTGCAGAAGCTACGACAATTGGTGACCCATTCCAGTATCACTCCCAGGACGCCTTTGTCGTCAAGGAATCCCTGACCAACCGCCAAATTCTCATCCGCGAGTTCCTCCAAGCACAGGAGCAAACACGCAGCAAGCTCAACGCCGCGGACCGACTCAAGGCGAGCTCCAACGTCAGACGCGAAAAGGTCGATGAGGCTATTACTGCACTCGATGATGCGCGCCAGAACGAGACCTACCTGTATCAAAAGACGACCCGCGTCACCCAGAACCTCGTGCAGGAGCGCCGAAAGTGGTTCGCGAGGACCGCGGCGGATCTGCGGCTCAGCATCAGGGAGTACGTCCTGCGCGAGATCGAGGCGGAACGTCGCGCGCTTGCCGTTCTGGAGAGCGTGAGACCGGATATCCGATCCATTGACGCATCCGGCGGTCTGAGCCGTCTCGGACGCGAGGCTCACCCAACCGTCCGGCGGGCCAGCCTGGCGGCCAGCCAAGGTCCCAAGGGCGACGCATGGAGCGGCGTTCCACGACGTTCAGACCAGGCCCTCAGCCGCAGCGTGTCTGGCAGTCTTATGGCTGGCGTCCCCGAGGACGGAGAGAATGACGACTGGCAGGGTGCAGGACAGAACAAGGGTGGCGCTGGCGCAGCGGCTGGCCGGGCGAATCTGGCCGGTGTGGCGGAAGAAGACGACGAGGACCGGGTGGATGCGAGAAACGCGGCGAGCCGATTGGCGACGAGCACATTCTAGTGAACTGGGCGACCTGGTATTTGCGGAGGACGGGTCACGGAAACGTGTCCGAAGGAGGGGAGGGGGCGGCAAGTCCTCGAACCCCAAACCGTCACGGCCATGGACTGAGGCTACCCTTCACACAAAACCCTCGTAATGTTGTAACCGCCTTATGTGTGCTCCCATACATATAGATTCCCAAGTATGAGCCTTGCTTTTTGTCTTCTTCATTTTTTTTCGCCCTCAGGCATTCATAATGACACCGATATGTGCGGAAGATGAAGCCCGGCAAATAGCAGTCACGGCATGTGGCGACATGGGGATGGCTTCAACTCCTGGGCGGCACGGTGTCCGTTTGCCGGGTAGTAGTGGTGTTGATCGTGTTGGTGGTGATGGTGTTGGAGGCGGCACCTCCAACCAGGCCAGGCCAGCCCATGATTGTGACGCTGGAGGGGAAAAGGTGGGCGCAATGGGACGCACAGCGCACTGCATCGCCCAAGAACGGGTGTACTTGCCTCTCTCTACGGTCTGCTTGGTGGTGCGACACACATACGTGCACATACTCTCTCGCTGCTATTTGTTTCCGGTCTCCCATGTCTTGTCTGTCTGTTGACTGCATTGCAGCGCATCCCGTCGTGCTCCCCTCCAATTCGAAGGGTACTTGCTTGATCGATTGGCGGTGAGATCAAATCCAAAGGGGGAACGGATTTGACGTGATGAATATGTTTATTGATTTGCTGTGACGAGGGGACAATATTCACATGTGTTTTGTTTTGTGGCTTGTTTTTTTAGTGTGAGGGGGAAGGAGGAGGGAGAAAACGAGAATTTTTGTTGATGAGGGCTGCGATGCGGGTGAGATGATGGCACGCAGGTATTGTTTCACTGCTTTTTGTGATTTCTTGAGGGTGTTGGGAATTTTGTCATGAAAAAAGCCATGATATGCAGCATCGACTTTTGGCATGTGGTAGCCATTTGATAACTTGATTTCTCGGGATTGGTGTGTTGTGTTTCGCGATGAGTTGGCGTGAGCATGAGGCAGCTACCTACGCAATGTGGCAGGCCGGCTTTTGAATGTGAAATGGTTTGTGGCTGGTTTGGCACCTCGCCGGAAAGTGTATATCGCCGGCTAGTAGTCTTGGGATCTCTTTTGATAACGAACCGTAAGTAAGATCCCCGGCCAACAAGATGAAGCCTATGTAAACAACATGGGCATGTGTGGGTTGGATCCCCAACATCAGAGTTTCCTCTAGGTTGAGACAGGGAGCAATGCTAGTCTGCCCAAGTAGCATCGGCATCTCAATGTCGGTTCGATGATATTGTAGGGTTTCCTCAACTTTGAAAGACATGCAGCCGAGGTTTGCAATAACAGCGAGCGAGACAACGGGAATCGACGATGACGATGAATCCTTCACCGCTTGATTTGACTTGGCCCTTGAGCAAGGCATTTGTGTGTATGCCAGCCGACAGGTGCGTTCCATGCTGAGTACATTGCCGGCTTCGGCTCTGACGCTTGCCCTGCATGTTGCCAGGTTAAAAGTATACTGTCTTCTTTTATTGCCATACTCTCGGCAGTCGAGTATGTTGGCTGGCATCTGCAATCCTTCATCTGATGTGTAGGCACGGCGCATCTTCCTTGTATGACTCAAACGTCGTGTGGAAAAGAACAATGGCAAATTGTGACGCACACCAAATGCTACTCCTATGGCTCCTCTTTGGTTGGTTGTTCGGTTACCTTGATCGTCTTTCATGCTGCTTTCTGTAGTCAACGTAACGAATAAGTCAAAGATGAAAAATTGAGCTGTCCAGACCAGTCCATCCTTCTGAATCTATGGTAGATGACCTGATCGGTTGGCCTAGGGTTCGGTGCGTATCACGGAGGCAATTCTCAAGTCGTACATCTCAGATATGGCTTCACTGACATCGACCTGGGAGAGATGTCACTCTCCTCTGTAGAGACCTGACTTGCAAGGGTCCCAGGTTGCGGTGGCTGTTGTGTGATCCGATTGCGTGAGACCAGACAGGGGCTTCTCCAAGATTGGTTGTTCTCCAACTTCTTTGAGGATGATGCTTGCGAGGTGCCGTTGAGGTCGGTTACAAGGCATTCCTTGCAGTTGCTCGATTTCCCCAAGTCCTAGCCGCATCGTAATGAACAGGCCAAAGTCTGGTCAAGTCGCAACGGAGTGACGCTCGAGAAACGGATCTTGCGCCGACACAGCTTTCGCTTCAGAGGCCTGAGCTCTCCGGATGAAGGAGTAGAACACCTCATCTAGAGAGGTGCTCGCCGGCGATGCAGCGGATAGGTCGTCTGTGCCATGATTGTAGATACGGTCTAGGTCCATCAGCGCCTTGTAGGCATGCAACAGGTGCGTGTTAAGGTGCACAAAATCTCCACTGTCGTCTTTAGTGAGGAGCTGTCAATGGTGGGAGAGGTCATCCCTGCACCAGCCATGTGCAGATGTCTCGCCATAGGGCCGGTAAAATGACAGTTGCAGATGCGGTGCATCCGCAAATGGCTCGCTATTCGTCTCAAACAGGACAGGACAGGGTTTTGCAACTTATCGTTGAGTGCCGTCCAAGGCTACCGTACAGTTCCAGTCCTCAGCGCTTGGGAACCTTCTTGATCTACCTGCGTTTTACGCATCTGGAGAATGACGGCGAAGAAGGCAACGTTTCCGACGGAGCATCGAAAGCACTGAGCCTCTGCCTCCGTTCGGAGCCTGGGCGGGAAACTTTGAAGCTGGGCGAAGCTCTCTTTGAGGTCTTTATCCGCCGAAGCACCCTGAAATGCTCGCCAAAGCTCTCCCAAGGATGGCTTGCCAGGATCCGAACCCACTGCTGCGAGGGTCAGGAGGGGCAAGCTGCAACGGCTAGGGACCTTGCGTCGTCGTCACAGTGGGGTACTGCCTGCAGTTCTGGGCACCTCGGAGGCATGAAATGGGAATAAGCCAAGTAAAACGTCCTTGAAAACAGATAGGCCCGAAGTGTATGCAATTGAAAACCTCGAAAGCTAGCTTTCAGCCAGGGTTGGACAGCGTAGCTGGAGGGCTTCGCATATTGGTGGGTGCAGCGAAGATCTCGCAGTTGTGCTTCTGTGACTGATCGACTAAGTGGGAACATCGTTCGATATTGATAACAAGGGTGGCAGCCTGGGAGAGACGGGCGAATGTCATTGAAGTACTGGAAGCATGCAATCGTTCCGCGGAAGGTAAGGTAGGGACATTGTGCGCTGCAAGTGGTTGATACGGGGCAGAATGCCTAACCATGCTGTACCACTTCCTTCGAGACGCAGTAGGTGACGACGGTATGCGTGATGGTGCAAGGGCGGGATCCCCAATTCTAGAACGCCGGTTGGCGGTTGAGAGGGCACGCAAGAAAGAGGCGAAGCCGGCGGCAAAAAAAGGATGCGCTCGATGATTGTCCCTATCAGAGGAGACAGCCCGTATGCGCATCGAGCGAGAATCTGGGCGATGCGGTCCTGGGGCTCGTCGTGATAATGTACTCTTCGTGTTTGATAGAATCGGGTCCCTAAGGCATTGAAGAATTGTTGCTCTGCTGCCGTTGAAGCCAGACGTTGGAACCGAGGATTGGGGAAAAAGAAAGTTGACCAGGCCAGGATTAGCAGGGGTTTCCTTCCCTGCACGGGATGAACACCCTCTTCGATATTGCTTATGTAATTCAACGACCTGGAAAGCATCCATCATCGTTGCAAACCTTCAATGTTGCAAGGCAGGTACGGGTAAGAACGTTGTTTCTTCAACAGTACGAAATGACAGAAGACCGGCAGGCGGATGGCTCAATAAGTTGCTGGGAGAGTTCAAACTTCATGCCTCCCCTCTTCTACGCCATCCAACGGTGCCTCGCTCAGACTGAGAAACTCCATCAGAGCGCATACAACCTGCATCATCCGGCGGCTTAGTTCGAATACCCGGTCCCTGATCCATGACGATGGCCAACGGAGGCTATCCGTAGAGGGCAACGGCATCCTCTCTGTCGATACCGCGTATTTGTGGCAACCAAGGTCGGCAACGGCGCTGTTTCACAGCTCTTCCGTCCAGCGCATACGGCCCTTATTTCCCCGTGAACCTACAACATGGACAGGCCTGTCTCTCTTCCGCCATTAGGAACCGGGCCACCTCGTCCATTGGATGCCGACCTTCGCCATCTTCACCGTCTTCTCAACTTCTTTCATCTGCTGCTCCAGCACATCCGCCGCAACAGCTTGCCATCATCTCTCGCATTTCACCCACGATTGTCCCGTCATGTCCAGACCCCTTGGCAGATCATAGGTCGCCTGCGGCTTCTACCTACCCTGTTCACACCTTCGCCATTTTCTCTCCCTCTTGAACCACGCACTTCCGTTACAGTGACTCCCCTCCTTGCTACCCCTCCCACCACCTCATGATCCCGGCTCTTCCATATTCTTTCGGGCCCTCCCTCCCGGGTACCTCACCGACCATACCTTAGCTGCCCACCTCTCCCTCAAGCCCTAGCACATGCATGCGGCCTTTGCTTCTTGAACACGCCTCGAGACAATGGCAAACGAACTTTTCTGCAATTTGCTACTTGGGCCTTCATCCAATACATCGACTAGCGACCCCAAGGGAGACGTAGCTCGTCATCGCGGGCTGCGAAAGCTTCAAACAGGGTATCGTGCATGTGGCTCGCAGAGTTGTTGGATGCCATGCATGCCGACAACTGTCACCGCACTGATGCCATCCAGACCATCCTAGGTATCAACAGCCGCTAGTCTGCTTCGCAGGCGGTCCATCCATGCCATATCTGGAGAATTTCGGAATGGTTCAGCGGGACGTCCCCATTCACCGCAAGAGACGAGAAAGTTACTTCCGTCCGACCTCCTCTTCAAGCATGTCCATCAGTCCATCACCTCCAACCATGCCCTCACGCCTGCTTGCTTGCCCAGCTTTAACAATGCTGCCCAAATGCGGCCACCTTCACGCCGTCCCGCCTCCCGTCCCCTGCCGACTCGCCTCATGTACCGTCCACACTACTGTGTGCTTCTCACACGTTGTCGTCCCCTTCATCTCTTCTCGTTGCATCCCAGGCCGATACCAGCCAAGGGCTGTCCTGGCACGGGCTGAGGCGGGCCCGTAGCCAGCTGTCTCTTGCATATGATTTCCCGAAATTACATGTACGAAGAAGCTCTTAGCTTGGCTCTGATAACTGGGCGGTGTTTGGTTGGGTGGACTTGGCTGCGCTGCTCGTCAAGACCCCGTTTCGATCTGCCCAAGGCTCAAGGTCTCTTCCGTCTCCTCCTTTACCCAGAAACCCCTGACAACTTGCTAATCACTGATTGACACCACCATGAGCATTATTCACCATCAAAGACGTCTGGAGCCGCGCTCACCAGCAAAGCTACTTAAGGGAGGGCGGTTACGGGCCAAAGTTTTCCTGCTCTCTATCGTAAACTCGCACCCTTCTTCCCGCTATCACTTTGTTTTATAAAGTGATAAAGATCTAACCCAACCCCCCCTTCGTTGCCACATGGTCTCGTCTCTTTAATTTGGTTCTCACATTTCCCATCCCACGAGCAGATCCTGCCACATCCTCCACGGCTTCCTAGTCCTGCTACCCCCAGCCACGGAGACCCCCAAAAAGTCAACCTATCAGTCCTTGAGACATCCCACGCCGGTCCCCTCTAGAATCCCAGGGCCGTGCCTCGCTATCCTCAGCATCTCCATTGACGGCGCCCCTCAGTCGGTACCTGGGCCAATCCCACTGTACTAGCCCTCCCTAATAGGCAGTTGGGCCAAGCCCCTTCACCACCCTAACCCATCAACAGACCAACATCCCACGCTTCACCCCACGCCGCAAGCGTCATCTAACTTCAACATGGCTCCAGTCGCAACAGGCGAGGCGGCACCAATGCAACTACCCGTCTACAAGTCCAAATCTTCCTCCGTCACTGCGTCTGTCTTGCATGGTCCGCGAGATCTGCGATTGGTATGTTCACTCCTTCTCTCGGTATTGTGACGTGGAGAACGCGGGCATGTTACACATGACCCCACGTTGATCACGTCGCATCCCTACGCCTGTCGTCCTCTCTCGCCCCGCCTTGAGACGTTAAATCTAACGACATGTCTAGGAGAAGAGAACCATTGAAGAGCCGGGCGCCGGCGAGCTGCAGATCTCTGTCAAGAGAACCGGCATCTGCGGCTCCGACGTCAGCTACTACAAGAAGTTCGCCAATGGAGACCTCTGCGCCTGCCACCCGCTCTCTCTCGGCCACGAGTCCTCTGGCGAGGTCGTCGCTATCGGGCCCCTCGTCACCGGCTTCAGGCTCGGCGATCGTGTTGCTCTCGAAGTTGGCGTCCCTTGTGGACAGTGCACCATCTGCCGCAAGGGTCGATACAACCTCTGCAAGAAGATGAAGTTCAGGTCCAGCGCCAAGAGTGTTCCTCACTACCAAGGCACGTTGCAAGAGAGAATCAACCACCCCGCGGCTTGGTGCCACAAGATCCCCGACCACGTGTCCTACGAGGCGGCCGCTCTCCTCGAGCCCCTTTCCGTCGCCATCCACGCCGTCAACAGAGCCACGCCTGAGCCTGGATCAACAGCTCTCGTCATCGGGGCCGGCACAGTCGGTCTCTTGACCGCAGCCATGGCCCGTCAAGCTGGCTGTGCCCAAGTCACCATTACCGATGTTGATGCCGGCCGCGTCAACTACGCCATTTCCAAGGGCTTTGCTACCCATGGCTACGTCGTCCCGACACCCGGCTCTTCTTACAACAATAACTCCGGAACCTCGACCCCCGCAGACCCCGGCGTTATGACACCCGCCAGCATCTTCTCAGTTCAAAGTGTCCAGGGCAAATTCGACGGCGCCAAGGCCTTGGCCGCCGATATCCTCGCTCTCACCAAGGTGCCCGAGGAACTGGAGATGGACGCAGAGGACGACGGCGTCGACGTCACTTTTGAGTGCACCGGCAAGGAGGTCTGCATGCACACCAGTCTCTATGCCACGAGACCCGGCGGCAAGGTCGTCATGGTGGGCATGGGCACTCCGGTGCAAACTCTCCCTCTGTCCGTCGCGCACTTGAGGGAAATCGACATCCTTGGAATCTTCCGCTACGCCAACACCTATCCCACCGGCGTCCGACTGCTTTGCGCCAAGGGCAACGGCGGCCTTCCCCGTCTCGACGACATGGTCACGCACAGGTTCAAGGGCCTTGAGAATGCCTCCAAGGCGTTTGAACTTGCCAGTAGGACGTGCGATGACGAAGGCAACCTCGTCTTGAAGGTTGTCATCGAGGCCTGAAGAGGTACATCAAGAGAAAGATGAAGCTGCTGCTTTGAGGAGTATTATTCCTCAGCTGAAGCTGCAGACTTTGCTTCAAGTTTACGGCCATGAATATGAATGATTGATACCAAGATAGACATTTCTGCTTACTTTTTTCTTTTCAAAACGACGTCTTTCGGCCAGGGCCAGATTGCGGATTCGAGGTGGAGGAGCGAGTGGAGTGGAAATAAGCGTTGGTCATAGATTTCTCAAGTGGTTCAGGCTGGATGGGACACAAAATGGAAAATAATCCTGGGTAAATGAGTATAGTAAAAATGCAGTTTATTTGAAGCATTACACACCAACACAACTTGAACCCGACAAATGTATGTCATGCAATGAGATAGAGAAATGTCAGAGCGAAACAGTCCCTCGAAAAAAAAAAGTCAATAGGGAAGCAAAAACATGAGAAGTATGGTGTTTATTCGTCGGGGCTTGGTATGGACCCCTGCGCGTATCATCATGTCTACATTACCCCCGGAACGCCTCTCAATGAATTAACCCTTCTGTCCCGCCGGAGCAAGCTTCTGTCCATCCGCTTCTTTTTCCTGCGACTTCCTCCCGGCCTACATGAAGACGTCGCCCACACCAGAAACATTGTACCCGGATGAGCCTACGGAGTAAGCTGTGGTGAAATCAGCAGCCCTGCGATCCCTATTCTTGGCTACCTCCAGAACGCCAAACTTTTTGCCAAGATCACGCATGCCGCTGATGCTCTGCATAAGGTCGTTGAGGCGCGAGACGATGGCGACGTCGTTCTCCTCGCAGAGAACCTCCTTCTCAAAGTTCTCAACGTCGGATGGGACGACGAGCTCCAGGCGGTTGACAAGAGCTTGGATCTGGCGCAGGATGGTGTGTGAGGGCGTCGTGTGTTCACCTGCTGGCTGTTTTTGCTCCACGCCCGGAAGGTATTCGGAGGGTAGGCGCTCGAGGTAAGATGTGATAAGGCGGATACGGCCCTGAAGCATCTTGACAGCGTTGGCCTTCGCCGTGAGGGAGGCAATCATCTCTTCCTCCTCAGGAGAAAGCGCACCATCAATGTCCTGGTCAGCGCTCTCGGGCACTACGACACGACGCTTGCCTCCTGATTCGACGAGCTGGACCTTGGGCTTGGATTCCTTGGGGGCCTCGATGGCGGTGGCGTTGCCGGCGCCACGGGCGACGTGGTCCATGGAGATCATCTCGGCCTCGCCCGTCTCGACAGTGTATGGAAGCTCGCGGAAGCGGAGCTTGAGCTTGTTGGAGTCGCCGTCCTCCATCTTCTTGTCCTCGCCATCGTTGGCAGCCTTCGAGGCGTCGTCGACCTCGTAGTTTGACTCCAGAATCGTCATAGGCAGCTTGCCGCCAACTGTGGTAGAGAGAGCCTCCTGTGGGTGGAAGCCAAGAATAAGGGCGGACTCGTTGAAATCGGCGAGCACTTGGTTGTGAATGGGGAGGATGGTCGGGTTCGGGCCGGTGGAGGGGAGGAGGGTGTACCAGCCAACAAGGTCGAGGCCGCGGTCTTTGTGGACAAGCTTCACTTGGAGGGAGTCAGCAGTGGCAATCTCAGAATATCAAACCAAACGTACTCTGCTCTAATCTCCGGCCGAAGCGGTCGGCATCTAGCAGGTAGCCGCCGTCGACCTCTGGCACTTGCTTAAGGTGACATTCGAAGGCATGCTCGATCGTGACCTCGCGGCCGTTCTGTTGACCCAGGAGGGCACCGACGATGGGGCCTTCTTGGGAGCGCAGCGTGTGGCGTGTGATATAGTCGGATATCGTGAGGAGAACGAGGGGGTGGAGGACTGCCTGAAGCTCCGAGGACTTCTGGCTCGACATGAGCGGGTTCTCGGTGGAAGAGGCCATGCTGGGCGGGGATCTGCCCGTCGCCGTGATGTTGTGTTGCTATTGTGGTGTCGCGACCATGCGAAGTCTGTAAATGCGGCGGTAGGTGTCGTCGATGGTTCTCGAGAGGTGATGTAAAGATTCGGTTGCCGGAATCGCTGTTTGAGTTCGAAAGGTTGCAGGTAGCTGCGTCCACGGGTGTCAATGGAAGGTGCCCCGCGATGTGGGGAGTCAAGGTAGGCAGGAGCTACCGGCCCCAACCTTGAAAGACAGTTGAGGCTGACCATGAGGCTGAGGCAAACGGTCAAGCCACCTTAGCAGTCATTGGCTGCGCATTCTGGCCAATCATGTCAGCTCTGAAAGCTATTGTGGGTCTCATGTTTCCAACCTCACACCCAGTGCTCCATTCATTGCTCAATGCTGTGCCTCTGGAGGGATGTTGCATTCCTCACATCACTCAGGACATAGACAGTGTTGGGCAACGTTATCGACTCTCGGTCGCACGTCCGTCTGCAGCCATCATCTTCCCTGAATAACTCTCTCAACTGAACCAAGTGGATTCATCTCGATGTTCCATTGCTTTCCCCCTTCCAGCTCCAGTGGCCCTTAATGTGCACAGTCAGCCCCTTCAAACTCGGGGTCTTCGGTTAGCCAAAACGACATGGGGGGTGTGTCTGGTGCTGCACAAGGATGCATTCACCACTTTCATTGCTCTCAGCATCGACATTTGCAGTTTTACAGACAATCAGAGAGCAGCAGCGGCGCTGGTAACAACAACAGCCCAAAAGGCACCTTTTATCTGAGGCGAGCTGGCAAAGTATTTCTGCACAGCTAGGGGCCCATTCACCCACCTGATGCTGCTTCCCTACCCACCGCCCAGGTGGCAATCTGCATGCTGAGGGCCACCAAAAAAAAAAAAGTGGCATCGATTCAAGGTGCTTGTCACAGTACGCAGAGCTGGTGTGAATACTCCCTTTTATTACCGGGCTAGCGTCCGGCTGTCCGCCAAAGACAAGAGTTGAAAGACAAACCGTGCAACATGCCAGCACTCTTCTCTTGGCTTCTCTCTTTGCTGTTCATGGCCTGCTAATTAATGCTAACCGTGCTGGGTCCCGTCATTCCAACATGCGTACTCAGCACACTCTGCAAGAGCTGTAGCTGTTCGGGACAGGGTTCAAATATGGATGCTTGGCCATTCTTATCAACTAAACTACCCGCATCCCTCCGTCTCATCAATGTTGCATCCGTTCCCGCACCCGCATTCTGAAGACACCAATTCTCTCATTTCTCTTCAGGATGGACGGCACATACTACCACCATCAAGGCGTGATGTTTCCTCCAATGTTTCCTCAAGTCTTTCCGCCGCCACCGCCACCACCGCCCGCCCCTGCTACTCGGCCAGTCGTGCCAGCCAAGAGGGAAGACGATGATGTCCAGTTTGTGTCTTCTAATCCGGTTAAGAAGAGGAGGCTTGACACCCATCGACCCATCATGCCACCTCCAACCATACCAACCATAACACACTCACCGCCCCCCGCGAATAATCAACCGGTTCCCGCCCCCAACCACCAGCCACCCGAGCCTCCCAAGCATGCAGCAGTCACTGCGGTACCGTCACAACCGGAGCGACGAGGCAGCACCGGCATGGTTGATCCGTCGTCAACATCACACGCGATGGACATAGACCCGACGCGAGGCTGCTCGGTCCCGATTCCGGAGAGATCACAGTATCTTGAGTCGTTCTGGACCGCGCCGTCATCTGGTCCACAGTGCTCTCCGCCGGTATCACCCAAGACGCTACCGGAGCATGTTCAACCGTCTATGCTCCGGCTCGACGAGCATCACGTTCCGGCGCCTGGGCCCACGAATGGGCTGAGTGGTGGTGGTGGAGCGGTGGTGAACAGTGCTGGCTTTCCCGGATCGGCTCACCCGACTAACAGCCCAGCCCGTATGGGCTCTCAACCGCCAACAGTGAGAGCGGAAGGTACGCCGACCCAACCAAACTCGGAAATGCAAATGCCAACTGAGACTGCAAAGGACACACGCACCGTCGATTCAATTCTGGCTGGCGCTGTTGACTTCATCCCTGAGCCCGATGCTGCTTCAATGTCAGATGCCACGAATGGACAGCAGCAGGTCACGACGGGAACCGTGACGACAACTCATAACCAACCTTGTGCCCAAGCTGACCTCAAATCAGTATCAACTGTTCCCATGTTGGATTTCCAGAGAGGCCAAAGCCCAGCAAAGACACCAAACACGACCGCAACACCACAAGTGCAGCCTCATATCCACACCCACGCTCACCATCACACTCCTCACCCTAGTCCAGTGGCATCTCTTGCCCAAATTCCAGCCCATACCCCAGCGCATGCTTCCGCCCATGGCACGACTCAAGCTGGCTCCTGCGGCGATCGTCCTGCGCCAGGAGCCAAAGGACCTTGTCGGCAATGTTTGGAGGCGAGGTTACGGCAACAAGCAGCGAGCCAGGCAGCCCAGGCAGCAAACCTGACTGCCGCAGCCGCGATGCCTTCGACCGCCAATGTCCCAGGAGCAGCGCAAACTTCCATGTCATCTTCCACAATCCAGCAACACTGGCCACACATGCTCGGCATCAACCCCTACGCCAACCCGATGGCTGGCGCCATGTACGGCCCGTTGCTGCAACAATCAATGATGGCGGGCCCGAACAGCGCTTTCGCTCTCCCGCAACAGCAATATCCTCATGGCATGCCAGCCCAGCAGTCAGCCGGGCACATGCTTCCCATGGCACCGACGTCAACGCAGCCGGTAGCTCCGACCTACTCTTCCAGCCAGAGGAATCCTTACCTCCAAACACCCAGTTCCGCAAAACCAGCCAAACCCGCCGCCCCGAAAGCGACTGACCCACCGCAGCTTACCACCAAACACATCATCGTCGACATCGCCGACACCTGTCTCAACGTATTCCCCTTCGAAGAGGTGGCGAAACGGCACAACCAGCCAGAGCAAAAAGTCAGAGATATCTTCGGAGCGGTCATCCAGGTCCCGCTACTGCGGTGCAACACCGACAAGAGGAGGGCCGGCAAGCTGGGCACGGCACGCGTCAAGGAGTTCAACCAGGCGAAGAAGGACGCGCAGGCGCAGGTCAGCTCGAACCAGTCAAAGCAGGACGCCATGGCCCAGGGTCCATACATGCCATCGGCGTGGGAGATGGCGCAGTTTATGGGGCCAAGTGACGTACGACTAGGGATGTTCAACAACCAGTTCACCGGGCCTTGGTAACGGGGATACTGTGAGTACGGAGCGTCAAGACATGGCATCAAAAGGGAGCACGGCGTTTCTGATTCTTCATTCGGCGGTTTTGTGACTTTTGTATCTATACCCAGTCCGCAATTCATTCAGCTTCTGCTACTTGATTCAAAGCCGCCAGCACCATCATTGTGTGCATATTGCCGGTTTCTCCCTCTGGTTTGGGCCACTTGACATCGCCAAGCGGCTCTTCGCGCGTCAAGCTTACAGAAAAGTTCCGGAGCCGCGATAGACGGGTGTGTGCCATCATGGCGCGGTGCAAACGCAGCATTTCCTCGCCGTTACCATCGTTCTTCGCCTGGCGATAGTCAGCCATCAGGATGGCATGTTCAGCCTCGTGCAGGGCGCGGTTGTCGCGGAGGTGCATTGGCCGATGGCACGCGGCGCAGCTGTCGTCGATGAAGGCGGGCTTCCAGAGCTCGCCTTTGCAGTCGGCCCCCTTGCCGCAGTCCCGGAGGCGAGAGCGGAGGGTGTGACCGCAGGACATTGTGGTTGCTGTTCCCTCGCACATTGTGTGTCCGTTTGCAGTGTGGAATACTTACCGGGCGGCCTTTTTTTGCCTTGTGCGTGATTGAGAGGGTTGTATACCTACAATTCTGTTTCTTCAGCATTACAAGACGGTGCCTATTTATGGATGGCTTCCTGTCTTTATTTTGTTCTCGTTCAAGATGTTTCTGGGCGGTATTAGCGACATTGTTCTCGTCTCATCGATATGTTTCGTAGTTGAAACGTCAATCTTGTAACGACCCTCTTTGTTCGGCTGAGACTCTTCCGCATTATTCGTCAACGGCCAGTGTGTTCATTGTCCTTGGAAATGTTCGAGACTTCCATTCCGCGAAGCTGGTCTCTGGACAATGCTTCCCACTGTATCTCGGTCCAGGGCTGCCTTCCGTCTGCCACGGATAGCGATTTCGGAAAAGTAAACCACGCCGTATCGATTCGTTTACAGCCGTCCGCACATCACTCTCCCGACGATCTTGACGGGAAGATAGGATACTTGACAGGATCTTGCTTATCGACGAATGGGAAGCCTTGCCGAAGGGATGTTGTCGAATTTGCCCACCAATCGGGATGTTGGAGCAGCAGAACAGAGAGCGGCTCCGGCTCGAGAGCCGCCGGGCCGCCAGGCGCACATGAAGCGGCGGAAACATATTGACCTCAGCGGCCGCAATGGTGAAATGGCATCTAAGAATAGGTTGATGAAGCTGGCCTCGACGGTTTCAGGGATGCGCGTCGCAAAATTCAAGGTGATTGTCACACCCTCCTTGAGGGCCCAATGTTGTCATTTCTCTTCCCGCAGCGGACATCCCACGTGCGGAAAGCCGTTGGACGCGAGGTGCGAGGTATGGGCTGTCTCGCCGTCTGGTAGCGAGCGAGGAATGTGGCATGGGCGAGCCGCGTGTCGGACGGCATGCATCCGGGGCGGAATGAAGTCAGAACTCACCTTTTTTGGTCTTTGCGGTTTTGAAGAGCGGGGCGTGAGTGTAAGGAGATCGGCCGTTGGTGCAGGTTGGATGATCTGATAACGGGCGATGCAGGTGTAGCGGCGATGATCTATTGAGTGGTGATATGTGAGGAGTCTGCTCGCTTGGAAGTGCCATTTTCTGCAGACCGTATTGAGATGTGACAGTGCCATTCCGATGTCATTCAAACAACATGTAACCGTTTTGGCACCCGTGAACATCCGGATACGGCTCGTGGTCGGCTGTCATTGTCGGCTCCGAGGGGACGGGAGTGAGTGTTCCTGCCGGTCATCCGCGCCGTGTCTTTCTGGAACGCGGCCGAAGTCTGGGGTAATGTTTCTTTTTCTCTGTTGGCTACGTCTCTTTTGACACGATCTCGTTCATGATACCTTACCAAGTGCTTGGTTTGGAAGTATCGGCAGTGGAGTGCTCTAAGTGCGACGTTGTTGTCCCCACGGGGTAGCAGAGTCATGGCTGTAGGGTTTAACCCGATCGACCTGAGTATGGGTCCACTCGCACTATCATTCGGGGCCAAGGTAACGTTCCCATAACATAGTCTTTCAAATAAAATGTCTCCTTAATACGCGGCACGTTCCCCCGAAGTCGTCGCGAAATCGCAACGATCCTCTTCCTCTTCTCCGACCATCAGACATTGGATTTCCCGTTCTCGACATCTCTTATCTCCTGGAGACCGCAGACAACCGACCCGGAAGGCCCGCACTTTCCCAATGGAAAAATCAACCTGAGAAAACTGATGCCTGGACCCACCCATCGCGAACCGCACCTTCCACGCCTCGGTGAGGACCTTTCATCCCAACTCGGATTCACCTTTGTTGTCTTCCCTAAGACCACCACCAACCTTGACGATTCTCTTCACCCATCACGGCCCCAGACCTCCCAAGTGAGAGCCCAGAGCTACTTATTCGAAAAAGGACAGCTTCTCCATCACCACAGGTTCAGCATTGATGCGAGCCACTTGGCTCAGTTGGTCAAAGCGGAACACTTCCCCATTCCCCTTATCCGCGTATGAGGATCACAAGTACCACCGTTCGAGTCCTCATTATCCTGTGGTCGGCAAACTCGGGTGGCGCGGGTTGTGTTACCAAGTAACACAATGAGCGTTGAATAGTTTTTTTGTTCTTTTTTCGATTTTTGTAATATGTTTTCATTGCGTGGCGGCTCTGTCGAAAAAAATGAGGCCTGCGTCGTGAGGTATCGTGATATGTTTTGTGGTTGATGTGAGAGTTGCTGCTGGGCCCCACTTTTGTGTAAGTAACCCGGAAGGCAAGAGCGCCCAGCGCTGATGTACATAGTAATGAGCCTGTTTTTTTTCGTCTTGCAAACTGGCAGTTGCATAAGTCAGTGACATGCTTCCAATTGAATATATTTCATGAGTCTTCCGCGGTGGCATTGTAATAACAGTATGCTCCCATCTTGCTTCGTGAGGTCAAAGTCGGAACGCCTCAATCAATGATCCGGTAACGCCACCGACGGGACCGTCTCATGTTGCAAAGTGTCGAAGACTAAGGTACTCTAATCATCTTGTCAACTCAAGCAAGGCAATAAATGGCGGAGTCAACAACTCTCAAACGAGAGCAACCTCACATTTGAAGTCGTCGCCGGCACACTGGACGACGGACGTCATGTTGTTACCACCACCACCACCAACAAGCCTCAATGTCACGTTCCATCGGTGAGGAAAGCGGCATGCAACACCGGGCACCGTGCGGAGCCTCAACTTCAGGGACCCTCCCTCCTTTGGCACTTTTTTCTTGCGCCCATTCCCACCGGAAACCGCGCTCGTCCCTTGCAGCGGGTGGCACCGCTCGACGGGGTAGACCCAGTTTCCCGGGATCAATGGCTGGGTGCTCGGCGAATCACGAAGACGAATTGGGACCTCAGCTCACCCGCACAGATCCCTGGTTGAAGATCGGATTGTGCGGAGAAAAACACGAACGCACCCGCAGCTTATCTCTGCTGGCTGCTGAGAAAGATTTTCCCCGCTGTGACCGTGCTGAATGGTGTGAGAAAAAAAGGGGGCCGGGTGTTTAGTGGTGGTGGTCGCGTGTTCTCCCGAGGGAAACTCTTGTTGTCGAGAGAGATAGGGGTGGACCGTGGAACGTCAATTCCGACTTCAACGTTGCTGTTTCGTGTCATCTGCCTATCTATCTTGAGGTTCCTGTTTGAACATGAGTGTTGGAGTTTCGTTGTGATTTTCTGAGGATTTATCTACCTTCTGTCACGCGCCGGCGATTGCGTTCCTGGGCAGAGACTCGATCAGTCGATTTCAGTCAAGGAGAGTCAGCAACATGAGCGGCGAAGACCAAGTTTCCGTGGCGACGCCACAAGAAGTCGAGAGCAATGAGGATGTCGACAACAAGGAATCACCAGCCCTGATGAGACTGTACTCCCATCCATGGACACAGTGAGTTGGTAGCAAACCAGTCATCCTTGACCAGCCCTAACTTGTGCTACAGGATCCTTCTCATTAGCTTCATCTGCTTCTGCATGCCAGGCGTGAGTCCTTACAATAGATATGGAGAGGAGTATATGCTGATTATGTAGATGTTCAATGCGCTCTCAGGCCTGGGAGGCTCCGGCCAAGTCGACTCAACCGTCGCAGCCAACGCCAACGTCGCCCTCCTCTCAACCACCGCAGTAGCCGCCCTCTTCATCGTCGGCCCCATCTTCTCCTTCGTCGGTCCCAAGATCTGCTTCCTGATGGGTGGCTGGACCTACGCTTTGTACAGCGGAAGTCTCCTCAGCTTCAACCGTAAGCCAACTGCTTCCTGAACCCCCTAGCACTCGCTGACCATCCCAGACAACGCAAACGGCGCCTTCGTCATCGCCGCCGGCGCGGTCCTTGGCATCGGCTCCTCCTTCATCTGGATCGTCCAGGGCGCCATCATGACGACCTACGTCCACGAATCCCAAAAAGGCCGCGCCATCGCCGTCTTCTGGATCATCTTCAACCTCGGCGGCGGCGTCGGCTCGCTCGCCGCCTTCGGCCTCAACTTCCACTCCACGACCGGCACCGTCAACGACGCCACGTACATTGCGCTGATGACCATCATGCTTGTCGGCTGGGTCCTCGGGCTCTTCATCTGCTCGCCGAAGCGCATCCGCTTGGCGCAGCTGCACGCCGCCACCGAGACGGAGAAGCAGAGCCTGAAGGGCATGTTGGAGATGTCTGTCGCGACTCTGTGTAATTGGAGGGTGCTGTGCATGCTGCCGCTGTTCTTCTGCGCCAATGTGTTCTACTCGTACCAGCAGAACGATGTGAACGGTATGACGTTCAATATTAGGACGAGATCGCTGAACGGAGCCTTGTATTGGTTCGCGCAGATGGTCGGCGGCCTTGTCATTGGCGTTCTTCTCGATCTGCCTGTGCTGGAGCGCCCTGGGCGTGCTAGACTGGGCTGGGTTATGTTGTTCGTCACTGGCATGGCGATCTGGGGTGGCGGATACGCTTTCCAGAAGTGGCAGGATGCTCGTCACGCTCAAGGCCTT